GCCTCGAACCTTCTCACTTAGAAATCTAGCAAACAACCTATCTAATGAGATAAACGATGCAAACAGTAAGCGAGCAAGTAAACATAAAGCATATGATAGCGATCTATCATAGATCGTGACAATTTATCTAGGGAGTTCAACACTAAGGCGGTATGGATGGCGGTAAGCTGAATGCCGAAAAATCAGACAGGCGTGAGTAAGCGGTGACTAGCGATCACATGACTTCACGCACCAGATCACTTGAGCCTGTGTTGACCTAAGCCTGATCGCCCTCATTAAAGCGACGGCAGCCTAGAGAGGAAAGCCGTACCCAACGGACATTATCCTATGTATATAGGGGCGTGTAGAATCTACGTATGTCACAATAATATGGAGTAACTAGTACATAGGTCAACTTCCATCCTTGTGATAGGTGTAAACATAATTGACCGCCCGTGGCAACATGGCAGTATTCCCCAGCCATTGTCTTATCTTACCCAAAACATCATTGAAACTCCGAAGCATATTTCAGCATTAGTCTCATTAATCGCCGGGATTTTTATATCTTGCTCCTTAAATCCCCAGCTCTTCTCTATCCTCTAGACATGTGGTGACCGCGCTGCGAATCTGCCATTGCCCGCAATGGACGCCTACCCCGAAGACTACGTCAATCACAACCTGCCTTTAGTCCTACTCTCAGGACTGGAGGCAGGGCCTGAAAATGACACTAAAACTTCCTTGAGCTATCCTCTGCTATCAGAGAAGGGGACCCATATCTTTTCAGACTTCCCACATCTGAGCGGGGCTGTTGCGGAGGAGCTCCGGAGCCTACTTCTTCTAGAAGATAGCTCTCAGATGCCATGGAAGTCCAGAGTTACCGTAAGCGGGAATACTACGACTGCAAATATCGGTTACCGCATCAAAAGTTCTGGCCGCGTACGTTGATACTTTATGATTCCAATCCTGTTGGTTCCACAACATCATACTGCGGACTACTTGCTAACACCAACACAGTCATGCAGACTCCCTCCACGAAAAGCTGACCCCCCTGTCCCCTCACCACCAACCACCCCCAGCGATGATCAGGACAATGAACACCCGGAACCTAGCTCGCACTATGTCCTCCACTCGCCAATATCGCCTTTGTCGCCAGGTTCCCCAACTTTCCCAGATGGCTTGCTCACCCCTCTATGGGTAACTAAACACCAAGAACTGGTTCCGGCAGCAGTGATCAATTTCTTTCCATTCTCGTTAGACCCGAATATGAATTCGCTACGAGACAATCAACTCAAGATCGAGATCAACAGCTTGAAAAAGGAATGGCAATCCTCCGGGTACAAGACGCGATTTGTGGTCGTTCTGATATCAGAAGACGGAGAAGAAGGTGGCTATGAGGGCGAGATTGATGACCGCATTGCGGGGATTCGGCGGTCAACAAACCTTGAACCCAGGTCGATATTTGTGATCCCACCAGACGCAAGTTCGTCGGAACTGCAAGATTTTGTGAAATCACTCTTCTCTCTACTGCAACCGTCGGTGGTTGAATACTATCGTGATCTGTCTAAACATGCCAGGCGTAAACGAAATAGGGGCAGCATCCCTCCTCCGACTGCACCGCCAACGACTGGAACATCTCAAACCCTATCGTCCCAAGGCTGGAACGTAAGGTATGAATTCAAGCTTGGAATTTTTGCCGAGTTTCGTCAAGAAATGGATGCAGCCTGTCGGAACTATGAGAGCGCGTATGACACTTTATTTGGACATGAAGTTTTCGAAAATATCGCGGGCTGGAATCCTCGATTCAACGATGCGCGTCTCCTGGCCGACGCCCTTGCCATTCGGATTATACGTTGTTTGTTATGGACGGGACAGACGACTGCCGCAGCTCGGCTTTGGGTTGATCACAGAATTCGCGTAAAGGATATTGTCAATCGCAGAGGAAAGGGGAGTAAAAACTACGGATGGGAGGCCTGGGAGGCGCGTTGGTCGATGGTAATGGCACAGCTTATCCGCCGAGCGGAAATTCCGTCCATCTCCAGCGAAATATCTTCTGAACAACCTGGAGACATCTATACTTTACCCGAGAAATCGATTCCAACCGGGGAAAGAGTCAGGCCTTGGGAAAATCTCCACCACGAGGGTTACTGGCTACACCGTTCAGCGAAGCATACAATGATACGACGTGCGCTTGCCCGGAAGATTCCTTTGGAAGATCGCAAGCCCCCTGGGCAATCACCTGGCTCACAACTCGCAAACAAATCCTACTTATATGACACATATCTTGTTCCCGGCCCTTATGCTGAAGCACCCCAAGAGGGAAGAACTGGCTTCGACCACTCGGGCCTAATATTGAATACTCTGAAAGCTGCTATCGAGGAATTCGCGAAACGCCACCAAACAAGGAAAGTTGAGAGCTTGAGTCTTGAGGCGGCCGAGGAGTATATGCGTATTGGCTCCTGGTCTGAAGCGCATGGCCTTCTTCGACCGCTGTGGTCTACTCTTAGCTGGCGCCGCTCAGGGTGGTGGCATCTGATGGTCAATTTCGGATGGGCGCTCAGAGAAAGTGCCCTCAGGGTTCAGGACAGCGAGACAGTTTTGCGAGTGGACTGGGAGCTGCTGAATAAAAGTGAGTTAATTCCATTTATCTTGTGCCTATCGTTTTCAGTATTAACATTCATTCTGATAGCTTTCAAACCAAGACCCGCATGGCATTATGACATCCACAGGAGTCTTGAAGGTTTACCTTTAGAAAAGCCCAAACCTTCTCTTATCCTTCGTGCAGAGGATGTAATAACGAGTTGTAAGTTTGCAAGCCCAAAATTCAAAGATTACACTGACCCCCGTCTTCAAAGTGACCGCGTCGTTGGTGTTCGAGAAATCCAATGGTAACGTTGGGGAACCTCTACAGGCCCAAATTGCCATCACCTCGTGTGCTCATAAATCATCGGCCCCTATCCGGCTCTCAGAAGTCAAACTGGTTTTCGAAGGATGTCTTCGCCCAGTGAAGGTTCAGTCTGACCAGGATCAGCATGCTGACACTACAACCCCATGTTGCATCGCAACTCTTCCACTACGCGAGCCGAGCAACCCTGATACCGCGATTCAATCCCCGGCCGGTGGACTGACCGCATTGGTCGGTATAGCAGATTTGACTCTGGGGCCCTCCCAGACCAAGGTCTTCAACCTTACCTGTATTCCCCGCGAAGCTGGTGAAGCTAAGGTTGCTTCAATCACCATGCTGATCGAAGAAGAGCAATTCGATTTGGGTTATGCGATCACCGAGCCAGGCCAGCGTGAATCGTTCTGGTGGCAGCAGACGCAAAAGGGCGTGACCCGCAGAAGAGTGGGCAAGGATCGTGATACTGGCAAATGCAAGGTCATGCCTAAGCCTCCCAAGATCCGCCTCACTACTCCCAATCTGAAGGCTACCTATTATACCAATGAAAGGGTGATGCTGCAGATCGGTATACACAATGAAGAAGACGAAGCTGCAGATGTATCCGCTGAAATCAGACTCTTCGGTACCGAATCCACAGCTGAAATACAGTGGCTTGACGACGATTCTAGTTCCGAACCCCCTGACTCAGGCGCCAGCACCCCAACTGAGGGGCCTTCTCATTACTTGAAACGAGCTGTGGGTGTTCTGGAGCGCTCTTCTAACAAAACTCTTACAATTGTGCTGGCCGATACCCAGGAGGCCACGGATTTCACGTTGGAGGTTTCGGCTGTGTACCATTTAGTGTCTGATATCCAGACACCAATTATGAAGAATATCACCGTGGCCCTATCATTCATTCGGCCGTTTGAAGCGAACTATGAGTTCTTGCCGGCAATCCACCCTCAGCCATGGCCCAATTTCTTCGCAGTTAGCGATAACTTACTCGAGGATGGCTCTGCGCCAAGCCCTGGAGGCCTGTTCCAGAAGTGGTGCCTCAATTCCAAGGTAGTTTCCTTTGCATTAGAGCCGCTTGTAATTGACAAGATGTCCCTGAGACTCCTCGAAGCCAACGGGGGAGCTATTTGCGAGGTACACTCAGAAGAGCTTGTCACTCCAGAAACATCCCATATTGCACCAGAAGAATTGCGAGAATCCAACTTCTGCCTCGATATCCAGAAGCTCCTTCTCGGAGATCGTCGACCAACTGCGCTTACCTGTGCATTGGAGGTCAATTGGCGTCGGCGGTCATCTGAATCTGCGTCCTCCGACGACGCAGAGAACTCGGTCACAACCACCGTCCTCGATATCCCCCGATTTGTCGTCCCCATGGGCGAGCCTCGAGTCCTTGCATCGGCTACCCCATCCAGCAATATGGCAGGGTTGATTCATTTGAATTACGTACTGGAGAACCCCTCTACCCACTTCCTTACGTTCAACCTGGTCATGGAAGCTAGCGAGCAATTTGCCTTTAGCGGGCCGAAGAGCACCGTTGTGCAGCTTGTACCGCTGAGCCGTCATACAGTGGTCTTTAATCTGTTTGCAGCGAAGCGTGGCTTATGGATTCGGCCACAGCTGGTGGTTATTGATACCTACTTCAACAAAACGCTCCGCGTCCTTCCAACGGGGGATATGAGGTCGGACAAGAAGGGGGTTCTGGTATGGGCTGATGCCGACGATTGAATGATATAACTGGGATCTGAGAGACATGCCGTAGATGAATTGGATTGTCTCATATGAGCAAATATTGTATATAAAATAAACATCTTCAGCTTCATACTCTGCATAGATGAGGGTATGTCACGTGTTCAGCCCTTATCACATAACCCGGATTTCCTAAATCGGCTAGCGGCGATCGATCCGCATGTCTTGCCGCCAGAGAGCTTCATCACAGTCACTCAAAGACATTACAGCTCACTTCCCCTGGTCCCTGCGTTATAATTGAGGCCCCAGCGTCGAGATACTCATCCTCTTACTTTTCCCTGCTCGGGAGATCACTGCCACATCCTCATTTTACTGGAGGAACCCCCTCAAACGCGCAAATCAACTTGTCTAACCCGACAGCCTCGTTACCGACACCATAAATATGACGGCGCAAGCGGCGTTAATCGCCGATACCATCACGGGCATGAAGCGGGCCTTGCGCAGAGAACGTGACGGTGAGTTACAAACTAAGTAGTCTGTCTTTTCAACAGGATTGTTTTCTAACATACTTCTTCCCCAGATAATGGTCCAGACGATCCGATCATGGCGCCAACGAACCGGGGGAACAAAATGCAAGCTAATGCTAAGTATGTGAGCGAGGGTGCACTGGGTTACATCAACGCCGAAGATTACTACAAGCAGGTGCGTGGTTTGCCTATTTCGGGACTTGGGTGCTGTGGCGATAAGACGAAGCTGGTATCCTAACTTTGACCGGTGATTAGAGAATCGATCATGCTGGCTATACGCGCTACATTCTTCAGCCGAACCCGATTCGCTATGATTCAGAGGGCGACGAGCTTGATGAAGATGATGAAGATTCCGAGGCTGATGCCGCGGCTGCTGAAGACAACCCGTTCTCTGGGATTGCGCTTGAGAGTAGGATTTTCTACTTCTTTTTTTGAGTACTGTCTGTGGCTTCATGACTGATCTGTTTCTTTTCTTCTTTCTAGCTCTTCTATGTCCCCTAAAGCATCCTTCCGAACTCCCCATCCATCCTTCTATGTCCCAAGCATACACGTCGCAAGCCCTGGAGAAAATGACAGCGGCAGTCGAACACAAGCTTCGCCAGGAACGGGCTTTGCTCTGGCGCGCCAGGAGTTTGCATAGGCAGTTTCTAGGTGATAGCAGTTGGATGCCATGCGGTGTGCTCGAGACGCCTGACGATCACTTGATCTTCGACCCCAGGCTTGCTAGTAACGAACCGAGCATATATGCCGGTCAGCAGGGTACAATTCGGACAGGTATTACCACAAAGGCACCTGCATCAACAGCCACCCAGGACCCTCAGTCGGCACAGAACGGAACAAAAGCCCAGGTTATTTCAACGCAAAATGACGTGGAAATGGCCGAGGTCCCAGCAGATGGTGAACCCACCAAGAACGGCTTGCAGCTTAAGTCAGAAGAGACCGATGCCACCGTTAAAGACCTGCCACCTCACCCTAACATCTCGACTTCCAATCACAACGGTGCATCCGGGGCGAGCACAAAATCACCCTCCAACGGGAGACCAGACATAGACACAACGAAAGATGCCGATCCCGTCGAAACAACCGAACCCAACGACGACACAGAACATGACCTGGAAATGCACGACGGCTCACCAGAACCACTACGGCGAATGACAACGCGCGCGCAAGCCAACGCAGTCAACCCAAACGAAAACGAAAACGGCTCCCCGCTCTCCTCCGACTCAGCATTCCCACTCCCAACACCGCACCCCCTCTTCCTCGTCCCGGACAACATCCTCCCCGACCCAAATTTCGGCCTACCTGCCGCTGAAGCCGAGGAAACCCGCCGCCTGCTCTGGTCGTATATCCAGAAGCAGGAAGAGACGGTGCGCGGGGTGGAGCACATGCTCGATTCGCTGAATAGATCTTGCCGCATGAAAGGTGATGTTCTGGAATGGTGCAAGGCTGAGGGACACGTTGGCGAGATGAGTGATGGCGAGGACTGGTATGACCGTGAGCAGTGGGGGCTAGCTGAGGGTGAGGAATTGAAGAAGGGAACGGATGAGGATGAGATTGAGACTGTCGACGAGAGTCGGACGCAGGGGAAGAGGGGGAGGGGAAGGCGGCAGTGAGGGATGGGCTGTTGGCAGTGCTGTTCTTCTTTGCTTCTTCTTTTTGATCTTTGGCCTTCTGGTTGTCATGTCCTGGTCTATTCCCATACATACTACCCTGTCTCTGTCTCTTTGGGCTCTTTGATTCATGTGGCGTCGGTATATACCCTCATTTCTATAATAAACGTGGTTTCTGGATGTACAAGAGATCTTTCATTTATCCAGACATAAAAGATAACAACTGGAATGTCCATGGGCCATCCCAGTAGGGCACGCAAGTCCACTTGAAGAGAAGACAATACGTGCATGGTGAGTGTCCACGTGCTATCTTGATTTTGCCTTTCTTCGTCCTCATCACTGGTGTTGCTCTCGTCCCCCATAATCTCAAAGGTCAAGCCTTGTCCTGTGTGCCCATAACCTTGAGATCATAACCACCATGCATCTGCGGCTGCGGACATGTCTTTGTCATAGGGCAAGGTATGGTCCACGGTAGTTTCTTGGTTTAGTCCTTCCTAAGAGGCCAAGAAGGTCATGTCTGGCGCATTTGATGTGTGTGCAAATTGATGACTGTAGCCATGGTTCGCTTCATAGTCAACTGGGTTGTTTTCGTTGGAGTCGACGCTGTGAAGGGACTTCTCATTTGTTCCTCACTCACCCACACTCATCGCCTGAGATCAAATGCAAGTGGAAGGTTAAGTCGAACATGCATTAATAGGTACATGTTGGCGAAAATAGCAGGCGCAATTGACTCTTTGCTTGGATTTTGCTGAAGCTTGGTTCAAGATATTGACTCAGGTTGACCGAGAGTGAAGAAGAAAGTAGAGCGTACTTGATCATATGAATATGGTCTGAAAGATTGGAATAACCCTGGTCTTCATACATGTCCTCTAGTAGCTGGGTCATTGTGTAGTCACATTGGAAATTGAGGCGATGACACTGGGTTATATAACACTGAGAAAATAATTCTAGAATATTAGATTTAAAGACTTTTATTCAATTGTTTCGAGCATTCTTTTGTCTGCTGTAGATATCGTTTTTGCTTGGAAAGACAAAATTTGGAAAGCGTCTTGTACATCCTCAGCAATCACAAGTGAGTCAAAAAGGCCTACTAATTCAGGTTTGGCGCGATGGGTGGATTGAATTATATCTTTTGTAGTCGCGTGAGGGAAATCATAGCGTGTGGGGCCTTGTCCTGTTCTACTCATAGTATCAAGGACAAGGCAAAGGTCTATCGTCTACAGGTCCAGCATCGTTGAAGATTCGGATGTGTCCATGCGCTGGAAACTTGTCGGGGGCAACCTCAGACTTTGGGTGTCAAGTTGGCTGAGCAACCTGGCCTCTCTTTTGGTGTGCGGATTGTGGATGTTGAATGTCCCGGCCAATCCTGGTATACATCCATGGCGTTTACTGCTTCTTGGCACGCGCACGCTCACGCTTAGCGTAGATCTCAGCAGTGAAGGGGCTAGATACGGTCAGTTTAGTTATAGTATGCTTCAAAATGACCACTTACTCTTCCCAGCCAAGAGCGAACCAGTACAGGACAAATACCTGGGCCGTCAAAAGAATACCAGCAACCTTGCCGTGGTACAGCGCAACACCGAGGAAGTTCAAAGTGCTACCCCAGTACATCGGCGAGCCGGTAACGTTGAAAGGGAATCCGGTGACGGGGGCGTCCATGAGAATACCGAAGTAGTCGCCAAGGTAGGTACCGGTCACACCAAGAGCCCACATGCTGGAGAGAACCAAGACGGAACCGATAGTAAACAAGACACCTCCAACAATCGGTTGGTGAACAGGAGCGTAGAAGGGCTGGTCAGCTAGAGCGAGTTGGTAGACATGGTCACGGAGAATTCCGAGGGAGAAGATGGTGACTGCAAGGAAGTAGCAGCCATTTTTTGCGCCTCCGAAAAGGCGGGTCAAGAAGTGATTACGGTACTCTGTTCACCGGTTAGCCAAGATCGAACGCAACAGTCCTCGGATGGAGTCGGCCAACCTGCGCGAGCAACAATACTAGAAAATTTAGGTTAGCTATTACTCATGGGCAGAACCATTGCGATTGAAATTTTCTCGACTAAGATGGACACTCACTTCCAGAAAATTGGGTTGAAAGCAATAGTCGCGGCGGACCCTGTTGGGGTCAATCACATGCAAATTGTTGAGATCCCGTAAAGAGGCCAACTCACATAGTAAAGGCTTAGAGGAAAAATCGACAAAATCCGTAAGAGAGGCCATGGCGCAGAGAACCGTTAAAGCAGGAAAAGTGAAGAGAACAGAATAGAAGAAGAAGATAAGAAGAAGAGGAAGAGGAAGAGGGGAAAGACGAAGTTGATGGGCGCCGGCCCCGGATTAACAGCTTAAGTAAACACAAATGACGTTCACTCCCGCGCGGTCACGGGATCGTCTCTTTCTCGACTCTTTGCTTGGCTGTTATATTGATACTGCCTTTACAGTTGCTATACACGTCTTTATCTCTTCTGACTCCTAGGAACTTTGCCCCACCAAGCGTCGACTCCATTCCAGGACGCTAAATACCAACGAGAGCTTCCCCGCCAACCAGGCCCCATAATACTATGCCGAGCTGTTCGCTCCCAAGCTCCCGGGAGTGATCGTTATGAGCCGTGGAACTCTGACAAAAGTGTGGGGAGAATGGCCCTTAGTCGCCGCGACTTAGTTCTGGCGGGTGTCGGCGTATTCATCGCCTGGGGTCTTGTGGTTCGCTGGCTGCCGATCCTCCGGTATCTAGGATATGCCTTGACACTGGGCGTCGTCCTAGCTTCTGTGGGTCTTTTAGGAATTGTCACATTCACAATCCGGCATCAGAATGACAGAGTCAACCTCAAGAACGTTTCGGTGGCTTTCATAAAACCTAACCAATGGCGAAAGGAAGTGCTGAATGTCCGCCGGAGCACGCGATACCGTCCCCGGCCACTCTATCCCCAGTCCTTTGTCGTGTCGGAAGGAATCGACGAACTTCTGTCTTTTATTACTCGAGACTTTGTTTCATCGTGGTACAAAAGTATCAGTCCGAACCCTATATTTGCCAATGAAGTTGATCGAACGATTCGCGTCGCTCTTGAAAACCTCCGGGATAGGTTGGTTGCGGAGGATATGGTGTCGCTGATCGTATCGCGTATCTTTCCTATCGTGACATCGCACCTCAGAGAATTTGACATTGCCGAGCGTTCTGTTCGGGGACGCAATCTCAGTCGAAATGTGACCGAGTCTGGAGAGCTTGATCTGGCCATTGCGAACAAATACCGGGAAGGTCGCTTACATCCTGCCGTTGCGACCTCGGCGTCCGATCAAAAGACTGTTCAACAGGAGTACCTGCGCAAGCTAGCGGTTGGCCTTCTACCACAGCTATTCCCCCAAAGCGTGCTAAACAGTCGAATTGTGTCGGTTCTGATTCGCGAAATCATCTCATGCGCTGTGCTTATTCCGATAGTCACTTCATTGTCGGACCCAGACACATGGAACCAATTAATGGAAGCATATGGCCGTACAGCTCTGCAGGATCGGAAGACTGTACGCAAACTGCGCGCCGCTCTAGACCAGCATGCGTCACCTGCACCTAGGTCTAAGCGTGGGCAACCATTCCCGCGACTGTCACCAGCCGATTCAGAGCGAGCCTTTGAGCGCTTTGTGAGGGCAATTAGGAAATGTAATAACCTCTCCGATGCCCGTCGTTTTCGCGCCCTCGTTTCCAGTCAATTGAAGCAGGAGAGTGTGGTCGAGGGCCAGGATCAGGTCTATCTGAAGCGTCTAGAAACAGGAAAACGTGTTCTTGATCAGAAAGTGGCGAAACTTGCGAGACCTGGCGAGGACTCCCATGTACCTCCAGCACTAGACATTCGACCTGAGGCTCCATCTAGAACACATGAATCGTCACTGATTGATGTGATGCACAGTGCATCTGGGCTTTCTTATTTCATGGAGTTTATGGACCGCCAAAAGCTGATGTCGCTTGTTCAATTCTGGGTTGTTGTAGATGGATTGCGCAACCCACTTGAAGATGACTTTGGAGATGAGCCAATGCCTACTTTATTAGCATGGAAGCCAGCAGACAGAAACGACCTAGCTCTCATCAGCGAAACCTACCTTTCAAAGCCGGAACTGAATGTCTCTGAAGAGTCTCGCCGAGCAGTCAAGGCATTCCTGAGTGCAGGAAAGCGCGCCACCCCGGAACAATACCGAAAAGCGCGAATGGTGGTTTTGACAACCCAGTCTGCCATTCTAGAGCGTCTCCAGGATACTTATTACCCGAAGTTCAAGGGGTCTGATCTGTACTGGAAGTATATTGCGTCCGACGAAGCATCCGCTGCCCAGGCGCCAGTTCGGCAATCCTCCCCCATAGCAGTCACTTTTGAAACTCCCGAGAGGCGACCTCTGCCCCCTTTGTTGTCGAGAACCAGTTCCCAGCCGGGATTGAGACCATCCAAAGACCTTCGACGAGCCGCTGTCTCGTCTGGTGATGTGCGGGGCATGGGGAAATTATTTGATGATGATGATTCATTACGGCGATCAATAGATTCAGAACGATCTGCTTATCTTTTTGATGACGACTATGACACTGACAATCTGGCCACATCCACCCATAGTTTGGGCAAGGATTCGCAGAATGGCGAGAATGATGGCCAGAGCCAAAGCCAAGTTCTCGAGACGATGGAGGCAGCACTCAATGATATCATTACCAACGAGCCGAAAAATGCGAGAATCGAAGACCTCAAAGGAGATGCTGCTGGTCTATTCGGGTCGGACCGTCCTGTTCCTTCGTCGCGCAGCTTGTCTGAAACTCCTTCGGTTGACAACCGGAATGAAAGAACCAAGAAAAGCATCGCATCGCTTGGTTTGGTGGATCATGCGTCACGACTTGGGGTCTTTGATGACGACTTATTTCCAGATCAACAGAAATTTATCGAAGACGAATACGAAGAACCAGACGGCGTGGATGAAAAGGACCCAGCAGATGAAGTGCACGAAGCTGCACCAGGTGACTTGGGTCTAACGGAGGCGATTGAGGCACTCTCAGTAGATATCGACAAACTTGCAGCCCAGGACTCCGTAGTCCAAGCATTGACACGCAAAGCAGAACTGACAAACAACACCGCGGAACTGAGAATCCTGCGCAAGTCCAAGGCCAGCATCCAGCGTGAAATGCACCGCAAGGAAATGCAGCGGCAACAGTACATTCTCCAGGAAAGCGATAACAGCTTATTTGGGCGATCGACCGTTAGCCTCAAGTCTACCGTCGTAGGCAAAGAGGAGGACGATGGCCGTGAATTTGCAATGTGTAAGAGACGTTCATACTGCACAGTTTGTTCCAGGCTAACTAGTTATTTCAGACGTGGTGGAGGTCAAAAGAAATGCCGGCGAGCAAATGCCCGCCGCATCGTGGGTCGTTGCACGACGATACAGCGAGTTCCATGATCTGCATCAAAAGCTACGCCAACGCTACCCCTCCGTCCGGAACTTGGAATTTCCCCGGCGACGAGTCGTTATGAAGCTACAGAAAGAGTTCCTTCACAAACGGCGACTCGCTCTCGAAGCCTATCTGCAGAAACTCCTCCTTCTGCCAGAGGTCTGCCGCAGCCGCGATCTACGTGCATTCCTCTCTGAACGTGCCATCCTACCCCGTAAGGAAACCGTTCGCGACAACGAGGGTGAAACAAGAGACCTTGTCACACGCATCTACAACTCCGTCGCAGACGGCATGGATGACTTCCTCGGCAACTTTGGCGTCCTAGACCAACTATCTACCGCAGGCCAAAACCTCATATCTGCCGCCACCCAGCAAGCCATCAGCACGATAGTCCCAGAATCCGGCGTCGCAACCGAAGACGTCGTCACAGCAGCCGAAGCCGAAGCGGAACTAAACGCCTTCGAAGACCGCGAGCTCGAGCCATTCATCAAGCCCATCTGTGATCTCTTCCTCGAAGCCTTCGAGCTGAACCGCGGCAACAACTGGCTGCGCGGCCGTGCAGTCGTCGTTGTTCTGCACCAGCTCCTCGGCGGGACAATAGAGCGCAAGGTCCGCGAGGGAGCACGCGGCCTGGTACAGGATGAGTCCCTTCTCAAGTACCTTGCTCTCGCTCGCGATACGCTCTGGCCCGGCGGCGTGCTTCGCAAAGCCCCTCCGCGTTCAGCCGCAGATCGTTTCAATAGTCGTGCCGAGGCTACTGTGGTCTTGGCTACCCTCATTCCAGATTTAGCGGGTAATGTGGTCGGCAGAGCTAATGCACAGGCTGCTGCCCGTCGCATCTTTGCTACGCTCAATAACCAACATCTTAATACCCATCTTGTTTTTACGATTCTTGACGAGATTGTTTTGGTTCTCTTTGGGAGTTCGGGCCGTTCTCGATGAGAAATGAATGTTTTATTCTTCCTCATTAAACCACTGTATATACTCCATTACATCCGTCTCTACATAATTCCAAATATGCCCGCTCATCTACACATCTAATACATCCAAAATCCACATAATCTCGCCAAGATAAATGATCATCACGTGTACATGTGATGAGGCTCAATTGTGCCCAACTGACAACAAAGAGCCCCTAAAATCCCCCAGACTGAGCTTCAGCTCATTTTCTTCTTCTTCTTCCTCTTCTTCTTAAACTTCAATGGCCACTCCCCCAACCTCAGCCCAAACTCACGCCCTCTCCATCCCCGAAATCTTCGAACTAATCCTCCTCAACCTGGACACCCGCACCCTCCTCACAAAAGCAACCCGAATCTGCCACGCCTGGACCAATTTCATCGACTCCTCGCCACCCATACAATGGGCCCTATTCTTCCGACCTCTCGACAATGCATTGAAGAAACCAAAGACCCAGAACCCACTACTAGCAGAGACCTTCCCGTCAATCTTCCACCAATCCGGTCCTAGCAATGGAAAGACCATTAAAATGAAGGATACCGACACCAACACTACAAATGAACCCTGCACCTCCACCTCGACCTCCAATCTCACATTCACCACCTTCGATATGGTCAAGCACCCTCGCAAATGGGATGCATTTATCAGGCCAGAAGCCAGCTGGCGCCGTATGCTGGTCCAGCAGCCGCCCGTGTATACACTGTCGCTACTAAGGAGTAATGTCGGGCATGGCGGACAGTATTTGTATATTTATGAAACGTTGGTGAGTGTCCAGCTCTACTTTATTTTCACGTAATAGATACATTTAGTTACCTAGTATTTACCTTTCTATCTGTTCGCATTACATCTATATATCATTTTCCCGCTTGCAAAGAACCCTAGCTGACATTCGTAATCTTCTCCCTGAAGGACGACCAAAAAGAATCAGCCGGTGGCTTGCGGATGGATATCGTCTTTGAAGCTCTCGTCTTCGGGGACAGGTGGGATCAGGATGAATACTCTGCGACGGAGATGGTCTGGGGACAGGAATTCCTTCCTGAACGGGTGCGTGGGGGCTTGGAGATTTTCGGCGTCCGCGATCTGGATTTGGTGGTTTATACTCGTCTGGGAGAGGCTAGAGATCGGGGTTATTATGTGGAATCTTCGACTTTGGAATGTGATGTTGTGAAGAATGTTAAGGCGGCGTATACCAGGATGGGGATGGTGCCGAAGTACTCGGATAAGGCTTTTTTGAGGGAGCGGAAGTCTTGGGGGTCACTTTGGGACTAGGATCTGTTCCGTCTTCTCGTGGATCTATAGTATACTCATGTATAGTATGCCGATATGAAGCTGTGGATGTCAACCGGTATAGTGTGGCTTGGCATGTCCACTTGGACTTCAATCACAGGTTGTCTCCTCAACTTGGGTTCGACATAATGTCTTACAATATCTACATTGGAAAAAGACAGTTGTCAAAATTATTTGATTCGATCCCCACTAGGCGTCAGAAAGAGTGAACGGCACACCACCCAGGGTAGATACATAAGCCGGGCCAGGCAGAAACGACTGATCAAGAGAAATATGATAGACGAGATGGAATATGAAATATCCCTCGTACCCTCCTAGTTCTTGTTTCTATATTAGAAACGCAGTGAACACAGAGCAGCCGAATGGGACTGTGAAAAAGCAGAGCAAAAAAGTCAAATGGCGTATTGCAGATTGAGGGGAGTCAATAGTCCCGGTATTATCATGGTTGGTAAGTGAAGGGATAAAGTGCAGAAGGGATTGGAAGGGCATCCGGGGACACTTATCTGTGTTCATGTTCATGTCATGAAACACCCGGGTTGATGGGCTAATGCCAATCTATGCCTCGTCCTTGGACTTCTTCTTGGACTTTTTGCTTGGTTGTGGTGCACCCTCCTTCTTCTGATGCACGACCAACCGGGTCCAGCACTCTTCCTTGTCCCATTCGAAGCCAGCGAGGTAGGGTTTGTCAAGTTCGTCATCCGCCTAGCGGGGTCACGTCAGTCATCATACACTCTTTATGGTCTATATCGTAGAGTCACTGACCTTCTTCTTGAACTGTTTGTAGATGGCATCTAATGCGTCCTTGATTGTGACGCCCTTGAGGTTCCGAGCGGTGACCTCTAGGCCAAGGGGGAAGTGGAGGTCAATCTTCTTGACGGGTGGAGTGACGAGGAGCATTTTGAGGATATCCTTGTCCTCGATAGTTGATGGGGAGGTGTTGAGTTTCCTGGACCGAAGTCAGTGAGAACTGATCTATGTGCGAGGAAAGATGAGATACCCACCACCCAGTCTTCTGTGTTTCAATTGGTAGGGTCAGTTCCAGCTTTTGCTCTTCTAAGGCGGTATCAGTATGGTTTTCCTACTGAGATTGATGGATACTTACCAAGGTCCTTGATATTCCAGATACCTTCTGCCGTTGATGAGGCCCGCCTGTGTGTCTTGTCCTTGTGAGGCTTCTCCTTGTGAGACTTGCCCTTGACTTCCTTCTCGGTAATGGCAGGCTTCTCATCGGCTATAGACAAGCCAGCGATAGCAGAATCGACTTTGGTTAGAGGAACAGACATGGTTGCAGAATGTATCTGGTCAAGTTCAGGAAAGGTCAAGATGGGATAAGGAATATACTCTCAGATGAATCAGGAGATGAATCAAAGATCAGGAGATGGAAGAGAAGAAGGAGCGAAGAGAGGGGAAGTAGGCAGGTGACCAAGGTTGTGTGAGAGGGGGTGCAGTGTCATGGATGTCATGTTACTTCTGTTTATATGGTGTTTGTCTATAACAAGCAAGTACCTCTGTATCAGCGGGTTTCACATTATTCTCCCACGGATTATTACTACACTATACTATATTACACTATACTATATTACACTATACTATACTCTACTCTACTCTACTATTCTCTGCTCTTCTATACAACCTCACTACCACCATCTACAAAACAAATATAATATCACCGGCCTTCCCCGGATCATTTCAACTGACATCAACATCAGCTCTCAGCCAATCAGAGTGCTGCACCCCGCATTTGGCTCCACTTTATTTAGGGCAGATCACTCTTATATGTACGAAGAGGAGTACGTATGTGCTGGTGGTAGGCTAGAACTACCACATTAGTACTTATATACGTACCTATACGACACTCTATGACTAGATTTTATTAATCATATGATGAGATCGCCTGACTATAACTACAAATTCAATCATACCATTCCTTCATCTCCACTTTGAAATCATCCTACATCGGTGAAACTGACCACTCTAGGCCATTCTTAACGGCATAATGCACGTCCATTTTGTATTCCAACATGGTGGCAAACCAGCAAACTCAACTGAGCTTCTAAGGTTGCTCGTAATTAAGCTTTCTTCCTCTATGGCGTTATTAATTGACCATTATTTCATCATGCCGATCTCGAATGTCCTGTAAACTGTATTTGCAGCCTAGTTGACCAAAGTATCTACATGGTGGATATTGCATGTATTCGTCGGATAGTGAGACAATTTACTCATATATCAACAATCTCAACAATCTCTTGGATGAGTGATGAAAAAGGAACCCCATGTATGGTGTGTGTTCGCTAGGAGAGAGAGAAGGAGATCAAACAAGGTGGGAGCAGGTCCTATCAACCCAAGGCAGAAACAGTCTCTAACAAGTAGAAAGATATAAAGACATAATTCATAAGTGGTCCGTGAACCAGCATATCCATATCCTCTTGTCCTTTTTGGCTTAGTAAAATAGTTGTGAATTATGGATGCATACAGTTGTTTACTAAAGATGACTCGGCAACAGAGTATAATAAGCTGAATAGTCGCTCGCTAGTTTAAGTACTTCTTATAGATCTTCCTAAAGATAGTTCCTAGTCGGTATCAAGTTAATATATACGATAAGTATAGACTGACACGGCAATGCCTAGAAAGTGAAGATCGAATCAAATCTTATCCTTTTAGTTGCCTCAAGTACGACCATTGAGTAAAGCCTCATCCAATCAGATCGTCTAACAAAATATTTTCCAAACGGATAACTGCAGTCCGGCAATGCTGCCTTGGTAGTCGTGACTCATGGCATCCATGGATAGATAGGCATGGCTATAGTTCTGTTAAGAGAATAGGCGTACATATATATATGTAAGTTCAGAGTGATTCAAATTCAAATACAAAATTGGGATCAAAAGAAGAACCCTCGAGTGAAGTATAAAATCTACAGGCACGAAGGCGGTGGGATATATTTTCTGCCATCATCGCGCATCGCTTTCTGGCGAGCTACAATATCAATCGACTTCTCTGTCTCCTCCTTTCTCTACCGAATTGGACTTTCTTTCTCTTCTGCATGACTTGGCAGCTGTGACTTCAGCTTTGTTTTCAGCTCACATCCTTTCATCCCGCCCTCGATACCCCTTTACCATATCACACCTCTCGCGCCCTTTCAAATGTCACTTTTCGGCGCCGGCGCGTCGTCGGCCTCGGCGGGCCAGACAAATACCACCGGCGACATTTCTAAGGACGTCGCCCTTAATACTCCCCCCGAGGATGGCATCTCGGATCTCCGCTTCTCGCCTACTAGCGAACACCTGGCCGTGGCCTCGTGGGATAAGAAAGTCCGCATCTACGAAATCAACGACCAAGGGCAAAGTGAAGGAAAGGCACTCTTCGAGCACGAAGCTCCAGTTCTGAACTGCTGCTGGTCTCCAGTAAGCTGACCCCCGTTCTCGCCATCCCGGCGTATTTCCCCCACAGCCCAGTTCCCATAGACAGAAACTAACATTGTCTTTTTTCTTCTTATAGGATGGAACCAAGGTCGTCGGTGCCGGTGCCGACAAGGCAGCTCGCATGCTCGATCTCGGTTCAGGCACGACAACTCAAGTTGCCGCCCACGACGCTCCCATCCGAAGCTGCCATATGATCCCCAATCCCTCCGTGGGCGGATCCCCACTCCTGATCACTGGCTCGTGGGACAAGACAGTCAAATACTGGGATTTGCGCCAGTCCACCGCAATTGCCTCCGTCGAGTGTCAAGAGCGTGTCTACACCATGGACGTCAAGAACAAATTGCTCGTCATCGGCACCGCAGACCGCTACATCAACATCATCAACCTCGATCAGCCAACAAAGTTCTACAAGACCATGCAATCACCTCTCAAGTGGCAGACGCGGGTAGTCAGCTGCTTTTCAGATGCCTCGGGCTTCGCTGTCGGCTCGGTCGAGGGCCGCTGTGCTATTCAGTACGTCGAGGAGAAGGATTCCGCCTCGAACTTCTCCTTCAAGTGCCACCGTGAAACCCCGCCTACAAACCGCGATGTCTGCAATATCTACTCTGTTAACGCTATCTCTTTCCACCCCATCCATGGTACATTCAGCACGGCTGGTGCCGACGGCACTTTCCACTTCTGGGATAAGGATGCGAAGCACCGTCTGAAGGGTTATCCCGCTGTCGGAGGCCCTATCACTACCACCGCTTTCAACCGTACTGGAAATATCTTCGCTTACTCCGTCAGCTACGACTGGAGCAAGGGTTACTCCGCCAATACCCAACAGACTGTCAACAAGGTCATGTTGCACCCTATCGGGCCTGATGAGACAAAGCCTAGACCGAGCACGCGCAAGCGTTGATTTGGCCCCCGGCTTTTTTTCTTCTTTTTTGCGTGGGATGGGGGGATTTTTCTCGCTAATCACTTTCGTATCCCATCGCTACAACGAGCATGTAATGAAATTCTTACCATACCGGCGTGTTTTGATTAAGCAAATGAGAATTCTTTTGCTAGCCCATCTATTTTCTTTCCTGGAAGGATCTACTAGGGCTTGTGACTCACTGTACGGAGTAGATAGATCGTAGAGCTGAGCAGTTACAAGTAGGCGGAACATATAGCATCAAGACGTCGATCAGGTCATCAAAAACAAAACATCTTCATTGCATCCATGCGTGATACCTATAAAAAAGAAGAATTCCCCAAGCTAGTTCAATATGGCCAGAAGATGATCACCGTTCATGACCCATGCACAACATCTCATCGATAATCATAAAAAGAAAAGCCCCCACACCGCGCCTTGCATGTATTTTATCATCCAGATCGCCATGTGATGAAAACCCAACAATCTACGAGGTAGGCAGAGTAACCTGAGCCACCCCATCAGCAATCTTCTCAACCGCCTCATCATTTTCGCCCTCGGTCGTAACGGAGGCCTTCTGCGCACCACCCTTAGCAGACGCCTCTACACCTTCGGGAGCACCAGCGCGACCCTTCTCCTTCTTCTCCTTCTTCTTAGCCTTAGCAGCAGCCTTCTTTGCGGCCTGCTTGGCAGCCTCGTCCTCCTTCTTCTTCCGGTCGCTCTGTGACCCACCGAACATCTCACGCCACTCATCCGCCTTCTTGGGATCAATACGGGTGAACAGGTAAGCCGCCTTGCCGATCTTGTGGCCCGCCTTCAGCGAAGTAGGCTTCCAGCCGGTGGACTTGAGCTCTTCCACACTGGGGATGTACTCGAAGGGTGTATTCAGCTGCTCCAGAATCGACTTCGAGGTTGCTGGCATGTATGGCGAGAACACGCTGGACAGCAGAAGAATCAGGTTGAGCACTGTGCCGACGACGGCGGCGGCACGCTCGGGCTCGTTCGCAATCAGCGCGTTGTCTAGTCGGTTCGCTTGGATCAGTCCGTTACCCGCCTCGGCGATGCGCATGGCTGTCTGCACACCGGCACGCAGGTGCGCACCTTCCAGTTCTTCATGGTACTGGAGCAGGTGTTCGGTGACTTCCTTGAGGAATGGGTCGAAGGACTCTGGCACGGTGAATTCTGGAATGACGGAGCCGTAAGAGGCGGTGACAAGCTTGATGACGCGGTTGACCAGGTTGCCTAACTTGGCAAGAAGCTCGCCGTTGTTGCTGTCCACGAAAGGTCCCCACTCAAACTGAGTGTCGCCAGTCTCTGGGCGGTTCTTCAGCAGGTAGTAACGCCACACGTCGGCCGGGACACCGGTTTCACGGGCGTTTGTGCCGAACACACCAATGCCGCGCGACTTGCTGAACTTGCCGCCTTCGTAGTTGAGGTACTCGGTTGTGCTAAGGTGATGCAGCATTGTCCACTTATCCTTCGTGCCGATCTGTGTACCGGGGAAGATCACGCTGTGGAAAGGAACGTTGTCCTTGCCCAGGAACTGCCACAACTGAACCTCCTCCGGGTTGCGCCACCACTGCTCCCACTCATCTGTGTAGTTGGCTGTGATCGAAAGGTAGCCGATGCAAGCCTCAAACCACACGTATAGAACCTTGTTCTCATATCCCTCCAGCGGGACGGGAACACCCCACTTCAAGTCTCTGGTGATACCACGGCCCTTCAAGCCCTCCTTCAACCAGGACTCGGTAATAACGCGCGAATTCCTGGGCCAGTTACCCTTTTCAATAGCAGGGTGGGCCCATTTTTCGATATCCGGTTGGAGCTTGTCGAGCAGGAGGTGGATGTGTTTCGTCTCGCGGCGGACGGGGGCAGCACCGTCGATCTTGCAGCGGGGGTTGATGAGATCAAAGGGGTCGAGGAGATGGCCACACTTGTCGCACTGGTCTCCGCGGGCATCGTCGTAGTGGCAGCGGGGGCATTCACCCTCCACGAAACGATCAGCAAGGAACGAGTTGTGCTGCTCGCAGAAGGGCTGTTCGGCGGTGCGTTCAGCGAGGAAGCCGTTCTCGTGCAGGCGCATGAAGATTGACTGCGCGATCTCGGTGTGCTTCTCCGTGGGCGTGCGACCGAAGTGGTCGAAGCCGATGTTGAACCATTTGTACACATCTTGGTGGATCTTGTTGTATTTGGCGCACAGCTCCTCCGGCGACACCTTTTCCTCCAGCGCCTTGGTCTCGGTTGCGGTTCCGTATTCATCTGTACCGCAGATGTACAATGTGCGGTGGCCACAGGCCTTGTGGTATCTGTTGAGTGGCAGTCAGTTTCATGGCGCAATTCTATATTCTGTGTGGGGTTGAGTCATACCTAGCAAATACATCGGCACTCAGCACAGAGCCCACGACGTTACCCAGATGGGGAACATTGTTCACGTATGGCAAAGCGCTCGTCACGAGGATATTCCGCTCGCCGGCTTTGGGCAATATCGGATCCGTCATCTTGCGGTGTTGAAGAGGAGAATGTCTTTGTTGGAGGGGCAAGGCGGGAAAATAAGCAAGTGGTCACATGCCCCGCGCATATCAAAAAAAAAAACGTGATCGATCTGACATCCTCAACTCTGACTCATATCTACCTCCACTATCCCCACCATGGAGCCCAATCTCCTAGATAGTCTCCTTGATTTGGAGGAGCAATTCTACAATGAGGGGTATGAGCTGGGCACCGCGGATGGGGCAGCTACCGGATATACCGAAGGCAGCGTTTTCGCCGTTGAGAAAGGCTTCGAGAAGTTTGTCGAGATGGGCCGCTTGTACGGCAAGGCATTAGTCTGGGCACAGAGACTCGACATGAAATCGTCCGAAGGTCCCGCATCGCAGGCAGATAGCACAACGGATACTCTTTCCCTTGATCCGTCTATCTGCAAAGACATGCCCAGTCTCCCATCACACAGCACTCGACTAGCCAGGAATCTCCAGACGCTTCTTGAACTCGTCGATCCAGCTACCCTGGATATGAGTAATACGGAGGAAGCTGTCAATGACGTGGATGAGCGTCTTAAAGGCGCCGCTACGAAGGCGAAGCTCATCCAACGGGCAATGGGCGAACGCGAGGACCTGGCCACCCAGGCTGAACCAAAGGACATGTCGACTACCGGAGATGGCACTGGAAGCATTGAAGATATCAGTGCATTGAGCATTCGTCACTGAGGGCTAGTCATTGCTTCACCAAATCGGTAGGCCTACCAGACGCTCCACTCCCGGACTATACCGATGGACTCATATTAGAGCACGAAAGGCCAGTCCTTCTTTAGGAACAAAACACTCGCTTCGGTCAACATTTGGGAAAGTGCTCCAATGCCTGGAGCGCTATACAGATAGGCTGAGAAAGGCTCGAGGCTCATTCTCTTGGGCTTGGTTCTACACCCTCCGAATACCGAGGCTTCTCGCTCGTTTGCCACGGAGAAACAACCGGGCTCAATTGGCAGTCAGAATTTGACGCGCCAGATATATCAAGACTCGTCTAATATATCTCTGACACCAAATTAAAAAGGTCCTCCTGGCACTCCAGCCGACAGACACTTGTGGTGTCCAGTGGTTCATGCAAGACCAAATTGGTTATTTACAATCGTCTAAAGACCCAGCGTTGCGAAGAAAAAAGGTCATGTCAAAAATAAATCATAGTTTCCTTGAGATATCATAATATAGAACGGTTCATCAAATATGCGCTTTTTCTTTTAGACTTTAATTATCATCAAATAGCCAAAACCTATAGCTCAAGGCTGCGCTCAGCCATTGCCATAGCACCCTCTCTCGTCTTGTGACCACCAATGAACCCACTAGCATGAACAAAGACCGCACCCTCGGGGATCTTGCTCTGGCCATTCTTCTCAGCCTCCGCAGCCATGACACCATCAAGGTCTTGGTCGCGGACACCGCGCCACGACTCAGGCAGAGGCTTACGAGACTCAAAGCTGCTCTCGGAGACGGAAACGCACTGCACACGCCACTTGGCTCCCTCGGTAGCGTTCTCAGGGTACAAAACATAGTATGTCTGGACGGCGGGGTCAATCTCCTTGGTTCCCGAAGCCTCAGCCTCGAAGTTGTACAGGTGCTCCTTCCAGGGCACGCCGCCCTGCGGGAGGACGATGATACGGCCAGAGGGGTGGATGTCCTTGCGCGCGGCGTAAGCGCCGCCGACGGTGGTGCGGGCAGGCATCCAGGACGTGCAGGCATGGTGCATCTTGCGCGCGAACGCGTTGCCGATGAGCGTGCTGGCGCGGCCGAAGAGGCTGTCCTCGTCCTGGGGCTCGCCGGGTGGGCTGGTGGGGTCTGGGTTGTTCATGTCGCCAACCATTGAGGCGAGCGTGATGCCGCCATTCTTGAAGCGCTTCTCGACACCGGCGGCGGAAAGCGCGGCCTGGTCGTAGGCAGAGATGCCGTTATCGTTGGCGTCAATCGCTTCGATGAAGTCCGTGTACAGCTTCTCGTATAGAAGGTCTACGTCGGCGTGCTCCACGGGAAGGGACAGCTTCTGGGCGAGGATCGCCTTGCCGAAGTGCATGTACACCAGGCCGGCGGAGGAGAGCTTCGTGGCGTGCTGCGGGAAGGTTGTTGAGAAGGTCCGCTGGTGGTGGTCATACCGGTGAATGGCGGGGTCGTACACGCCGCCCACGTCGACGACGGTGTGGCATTTCTCTAGCTCAGCTGGGTCGCGCGTGCGGATGAGAGGGGAGGAAGCGTATGTGGGGAGCAGGCGGAGGAGGTAGACGGCGAGGGCCTCGTCGGCGTGGAAGTGACCGCTGTTTTCATCAGTGAGCAGGTTGGGCAGGATGAGCAGCAATTACAGGTGCACTCACTTGTGTGTCCCAATCAAGGGGGACGAGATCTTGAGCTTCTTTGCTACGTTTTCGGCCATTTTGAAGTAGTTATTGAATCTGAGCATTCAAAATGAAAGGGAAAACAGTCACAGCTCATTAATTTGTACCTGTAAACCTCTGTAATTTGCGCTCTCAGATTGATTTGCTTAGATAATACCATAGTTAAGAGTGCCAAGGCTTCCTAATTCGGCCTAGTTCCATGGGGTTTCCCTTTCAAAGTGGGGATTCACGTGCTTTCCGTATTAATTGCTGCGCTCTAGCTGGCTAGGTTTCTTATCTGCCATTCCATATCGGGTTGTAGGGCTTGGTAATAGGGTTGAAAGCTAGCATGTGACTATCAGCTCCCGAGGTGGCAGCCAAGACTACAACTGTCCGCTCTATAACACTCAAATTCGATCTAGAAAGAGAACCGAATATCTATTAACCCCACCAAGCGCCTGGCAAGAAATACAATAGAAGAAAGAACCAGGTATCCTATGTACAAGTAATGGCCTCGAGTCAAAGTGGGTGCGCGTGCGTGTAGATGGAGCAAGATTCGGCCGAGGGGAGCGAAAGAGAAACCGGGAAGCTGTGAATGGGATAGTTGAGCGTAGGCAGCAGAGGGTATAAGTGCCGAACGGATAAACAGTGGGAATTCAAAGTGGGTGTGGAAGACACAGAAGAAAGAAGAAAAAGCAATAGGTTTATCTGGTATCGTCGAGTCGTGAAAAGTGTTGTGGCATGTTGAACAGAGTGATGTTTGCCTCGAGACAGAGACAACCAAATACACTCGTTTGGCAGTTGAGAATGCTTAGCGAGGAAGCAAGGAAGAGCGGGCGGAGTGACGTGAAACGAAGAACCGAGACCGGTGATTGGCGTCAGGCGATGGAAACCATTCCGAAGAACTCGTTCTACGGTAGCTGTAGCTAAGATGATGGCGAGTTTCCAGTTGAATCGCTGCTGAGTGGCGTTTTCGTTGTCAAGGTTGCTGCGGGAGAGGTCAGCTTGGTAGGCTTGTGGCCGACCAGGCTCGTGCAGTAATATACCACAGCCAAGGAAGCAAGAAGGCCGATTCGATTGGCCTTTGGATTTCCTGCCGCGCTTTTGCTGGGGCAATGATAAGAAGGAAAGCGTAGGCAGATTGACTTAGCAGTCGTTGACTCTGGCAAGTAGTCATTCAGTCGGTTTTCCAGTGGCCTGCCACTCCGTTGTCGAGATCGTTGGTTTCCCCCAGCCACAGCTCGACCGCGTATAGGGATATTGTGCAAGCAAGATTAATCCACCGCCATGGGTTACCACCGCCGTTGCCTTGGGTGCTCCACCATTCACCGCTGCCACCCATTGCTTGTGAGGTTGCTGCAAAGTGCTGCATGAGGAGACTGGTGTAGACAGCGATGAGAATTGTCGGCGCGAAGTAGCTCAGGAAACCCAGCACTTGGCCTGCTGCGTCGGTATCGTCAATGGAAGCCTCCTGGGAAAGGGCACGGGCCCCCGACTCGCGGACAGCTGGGATGATGCGCGTCGATGCATACAGTACGAGCAGGCGGTAGGCGAGTGAGATGAGGACGGAGGGCGTGACAGCACTGAAGACGGTGGTAATGACGTTGAAGCCTGCGTGAATAATCGACGGCAGAAGAGACAGCGCGTGCATCAGGGTTGTGTACGACGCCATGATGATGGGAGGCAGTGGAGGGAAGTCTCCGACCTGCGAAGGGGAGGATATTTGTTCCACGGGGTGCGATGGCTGGTAGTCGGTGAAGATCTGGTAGATGCAGAGCACGATATAGGCGAAGAGGAGGGAGCTTTCGACTGGGTTACCGCGACCACTTCCAATACCCCAGGCACACAGAATGACGGCGCATGTGACGGAAACTCCAATCAAGGCCGCATCGACGTTGGAGATTTCGGGGAATTGCAGAACACGCCAAAGGAAGTAAACTGAGCTGGAGATAATCGTAGCGGACAAGACCAAGAGGCCGATCTAGGATAAGAGTTGGTTTTTAATCGAGACACCCACGGGGAGATCAAAACATACCATCCAGCTATCGCTGCGTCCACCTCGGTTGACGAGCCAGCGGGTGATTTGTCCAGCGGCCTGAATCACTAACAAACTGCAGAATCCCTCTGCCAGTTGGAAAACCGGGGTGGACCATCTCAGAAGTCGATCCCAGTTGCCGAGGGTCACCGTTTCCACCAGGCCGTCGCGACCAAAGAGCCATTCCTGAAGAGAAGAATCCTGCGCCCTTTTGCTGCTGAAAGTGCGCTCCGCCCATCCTGTGCCTGTACTGTCGGCATCAACCGAGAATCGATTCAGCGACCAAATCAGAAGGACCAGGATGACGGCCCATTGTATAAAGCGGAGAACGGCAATGATGGAGGAACGGAACCACGATCGGTCAGGGGTGGTGACCTTCAACAACGAGACCAGGAAGTAAAATGCTGCTAAGGACAGTGAGAAGGCTAGGCCACATGTCTTGCCGCCCACATCGAAGGCTAGTGGGATGGAGGAGACGGTGATGGCGAGGAACAAGGCCGACGAAAAGACTCGAAGGAGCCACATCGGACCGCCGAGAGGGTTGGGTACGCGGTAAGGAAATCGAAGGAATGGGGGGATCTGAAGCAACCGTCGTGTTCAGAGCTGGATGTGGGAGAGAGAAGTTGAGGAGGGGGAGACACTGTTTGCTTTTTTTTTTCCTCTAAGCTTATCGCTTTCAACACAACACTTCACGTGGGTCAAGCAAGACAGCCCTGGAGAGAAGTGAAAGTAGAAATTCCTGAAAAAAAACAAAATCGAATTGAATAGACTAAATCAAATAAACCAAATAAACAAGAAAGAGAAGTTCAAATGAGAAAAGAGGAAATCTCTTTTTAATAAGTGTTACAGCTAGACTAGCGGTCGGAGGACCACTTTCTACCTAGGCTATACTAAACTGATTTAGGGCCTAGAAACGCTAGAACATGAGAATGTTACAGGCTAATATCTAGCCAGTTATTAGACTTTTTTTAATTACTTGTGCCATATGGAGTATATTATGCCGAATCAAATATCCACTATGTTGACATACTTGACTGTCCATAGAGGAATACAGCAATAGAGCTATATAGCGATATAGCGATATTTTCTATGTAGTGTACGAGAACAGCCTGCTTATATAGCCTCTATCCTTGATATGATCTAGTTCAAGAGACAAGTTCCTAATACGACATAGAGCATCCTAGTTGGACAATATATAATACACTACCGTAGATGAGAAAATGGGAGATTCGCCAGTAAGACAATCCGTAGAATGTGTAAACGACTTTCATGTATATAACCTATAACCTTTGAACAAATTGGATAGTATAACAAGCCAAAAAAATGGAAGTATCGTTATGCACATATAACACGATAGTCCATTAGGAATACAATGTACACAAATTATCACTCGCAAGAATGAAATCAAGAAGTGGTGCAAGGAAATTATCACAAACAAGGGTCATGTCGTATGAACTAGATATGAAAAAGGAGAGCAAAGATCAAGGAAAAGAGGAAAAACCCCGAATGCCACAGATTGGTGATAAGTTGATAAATGGTGGTAATTGGAGAGAAATAAAAAGCCAAGACACCGAAAAGCGAAGCAATGCTCGATTGACTGGGCAGTGAATTCCCACTCCCATCAGTCATATCATTGAAACCATCACAAGTCCACGCACTGCCTCTGTTCTCACTCTTGCTCTGTCCCGCAGTGCACCCCTATCCTGTCCCCTCATTCACAAAAGACATTTGGAAAGGGAAAAAAAAGAAGAAAAAAAGACAACAAAAAGACAAAGAAATTCCCATAGCGCCAGGCTTTTGAACGTGAAATCACAGACCCCCTTCAAAAGATATGCATGCAACAATTGCCCTTCTCAGAATAGCCACAGCCACCCATAGTGGAGTAAGATACTATGTCATCGCCTATCGACGGATAGGAACACCCTCTCTCGCGGGAGGGGGGCTAACACTAAGCTCCTGCTCACTCTGCACTGGTTCAGAGGCCAGACCAGAGCCTGCCTCACCCTCACTGATACTAGTACCACGGTGTAGGTAGCTACCCCCCTCCTTGATCGGGCTGCGGCTTTGGAACCCGACCGAGCCAGGGTGTCCGCTGATGCTGCCGGGAATCTGCCCGCCCTGGGAGCTCACACTTCCATTGCTGACAGAGTTGTTGTGGCCTGGTGAGGTTGAGATTAGGTGCGGGATGTTCTCCGGCACTGGGTGGCGTGACCCGATGTTGGTGACGCCTAGGTCGGAGGCTTTGCCGGCTTTGCTGAGAGCGTAGTCACCCGAATCGAAGTATTTGCGTTCCTGTATAGAAAATTAAATGTCAGGAAGGTGTTGTTTGGTGGGGTTAGGCTGTGTTGGGCTTGCCTTGAGCTTGTTCTGGAGGACGTCTTTCTTGGTGGGCATCTTGCCGTAGAGGCGCAGCAGACGCTGCTCCTCTGGGCTCAACGACTAGGGAATTGTGAGTAAAGATATGATAATGACAGTAGAAGTACTTACGTTGATGTCCACTTTGTTCTGCTGGTGGGGATTCATGATGGATGGTTGAAGAAAGTTGAAGTAGAAGTTGAAGTGGAGGGGAAATTGAAGCGGGAAAGATAAGGCGGGGAGAAGTTGATGTGTGACCGGCAAAGAGGGTGAGACGGGACTTAAGAGAAATAATAGGTTAAAGAATAACAAATAATAGAGAAGAGACTAGCAGTAATAGGATAGTTTTTTAAATAAATCCCAGAGAGGTGACGGATCGGAGATGGCCATTGGCCACTATTGGCTATGTAGGTAGATGACGTTCTGGGACTTTACCTCCCTGGATAACTGCGCATTATTTTGTTTTAATAGAATGTATAATGTGTATTATGATTGCGCAGCGACGCGAAGCAATGAAATCATATGTTATAGTGAGAATATATCTCTAGTTTACTCTGGGTACTATTGGATGCTATATAAATTACTGCACATGTACTACACTTCGTGGTGGGCTCGCACATATACTAAACTCATTAATATTGTATTTAACAACCTTCTACATCCTAAATCTTCCCATGACCCTCCCCAGGCTCATCTTGATACAATAGTATCATTGGTTAAATCAATTATAACCTCGTCACCTGCCCACAGTGGAACCGAACCTTGAGAACTTCTTCATTTCTTCATTTTTTCCGCTTCTGTGACGTCTCTCTCCCACACCCACCATGACTCGCCCAACCTTCGTAGTCGAGCATCTGGATCCCGAGCTGGGCCCATGGTCCACGCTCGAATATGCCTGCATTGCGCGTGAATCTCACGACCGCGGGGCACGATTCCTCCTCAGCTCTGTGCCCGCCGAGCTGCAGATGCCCGCAGATCTAGCCGCCACCAAGGGTCTCGAGGTCGAGCAGCGCAGTGTCGAGGAGATCTTTGCCGACCGCAAGGAAAAGGTCTGCTTGCTAGACCCCTCCGCTGAGGCCGAGTTGAGTCCTGAGGATGGTGATACCTTTGAGGTCTTCTTGTTCGGTGGTATCCTCGGTATGGAATTTTTCTCTTACCCCGCGATATGTACAGATTGAGTTCAGACTGACCCTTTGACTGTTAACTGCATCTGCAGGTGATGACCCGCCTAGAGGTATGTACTTTTTTCTCCATGCACTTCGGCGAGAGACTGACGACTTGGTAGATCGCACCTCGGAGTTGAGAAAGAAGGGATATGTCGGCCGCCGATTGGGGCCTAAGCAGATGACCACCGATACTGCCGTGCGAGTTACTCGTTTGGTTGTTCACGAGAAGGGTGAGTGTGGAAAGTAAACAGTCTGGACAATATATGTGCTGGATGCTGATTCTGCCCAGTACCACTCGAGGACATTCAATATGTCGACTACCCGGAATTGCTCATCAATGAGCATGAGCGCACCGAAATGCCTTTCCGCTATGTCAAGGACGCCAATGAGCAGCCTATCATGCCTGATGTAAGACTATTGAATTGCTGAGAGAAACAAGAAGCTAACTATTCAGGGGATGGTGGATCTTATTAAGAAGGACGCCGACAAGTCTATTGATTTCTTCTAAGTGATACACTGATTTACTAGTTGAAGATCCCCAAAATTAAACTATAATAAGGTCAACCAGTGGCGATGAGGTGCACTTTTTGATTTAGAGGTGAACATAACAAAATATATAGATCTTAAGGAGACGTATTTGCAGTTAATAATCCCAATTGACAAATAAATATGCAGCGTACGAATAATACAATAAATACCGTGATTCAAGCAGCAAGTGGCGGTGCACTTTGTCCAATCCACCGGTAATGACCGGTAATTACACTCAATACTCCACAGGCCACGCCAGCCGTGGACTTCCTTTGAACTCCGTCATTCTACACTCTGAACACCTTAACACCTTAACATCTCCTTTCTTTGGGTTTTGCTACTTCTTTGTGCACCCTCTCCTCTCCTATCCCCTTGTGCCGTCCGACCCGTCTGGATTCGATGATCTGTTGATTTGCGCCTACGAGTCCCTCCCGGGACATCTCTACTTGACTATCTAGTTACCTAAACCTCTAGTCTGATGATACCCACACCGGACTGCTAAATGCTCTCAATACCCTTCCTCCCTTCTTCTGTGAAGGGTGGTACTGTCGCGATGTTATTATCCGCATTATCGCTGCTCTTGAGCCCGTTGGTGTCGGCCAGTTCGGCTGCGGATTATTATGTGCACTCGTTACCCGGGGCGCCGGAGGGCCCTTTCTTGAAGATGCATGCTGGGTGAGTCTCCTGGAAGTTGGATTTCTTCGGACGTATATCTTTTCTAATACGACGACTTTAGACATATCGAGGTCGATCCGGCCATCAACGGCAACCTGTTCTTTTGGCATTTCCAGAATCGTCATATCGCGAACCGACAGCGCACTGTCATTTGGCTGAATGGTGGCCCAGGATGTAGCTCTATGGATGGCGCATTGATGGAAGTTGGGCCCTACCGACTTCAGGACGACCATACCTTGAAGTATAACGAGGGCAGGTGGGATGAGTTTGCCAACCTGCTCTTCGTGGATAACCCGGTCGGTACCGGTTTCAGCTATGCGAACACCAATAGCTATCTCCATGAGCTTGACGAGATGGCCGCTCACTTCATTATCTTCTTGGAAAAGTTCTTTGAGCTATTCCCCGAGTATGCGAACGATGACGTACGTTTGCCTTGTCCCCTACATTGATTAAATCTCTAACTGTGTTATAGCTATATTTTGCGGGTGAATCGTATGCCGGCCAGCACATTCCATATATTGCAAAGGCCATTCAAGATCGCAACAAGGGCGTTGCAGAGAACGGAGGCACACAGTGGCCGATTAAGGGTTTGCTGATCGGTAATGGTTGGATCTCTCCTGCAGACCAGTACCCTTCATACTTTAAGTTCGTTGAGAGAGAAGGCCTCCTCACACCGGGCACAGTCCTTCACAACAACATAAATGCACTCAACGAAGTCTGCCTCTCGAAGCTGGAGACTGCCGGCGCGAAGAACAAACTGGATGTCGGCGCATGCGAGCTAGTCTTGCAACAATTCCTCGATCGAACCACCGAAAATCACCAATGTTACAACATGTACGATGTCCGTCTCAAGGATGAAGCCAAATCCTGTGGCATGAACTGGCCCCCTGACCTGAAAAACATTGAGCCGTATCTCCAGCGACCGGATGTCGTCAAGGCCCTGAACATCAACCCAGCAAAGAAATCCGGCTGGACAGAATGCGCTGGTATGGTCCACATGGCCTTCACCGCGAAGAACTCCATCCCCTCTGTTCACCTGCTTCCGGGATTGATCGAATCGGGCATCAACGTCTTGCTCTTCAGCGGCGACAAGGACCTCATCTGCAACCATATCGGAACCGAGACTCTGATCCACAACATGGATTGGATGGGTGGCAGCGGCTTCGAAACCTCCCCTGGCGTCTGGGCCCCGCGCCACGACTGGTCCTTCGAAGGCGAGCCCGCTGGCATCTACCAATCCGCCCGTAACCTCACCTACGTGCTCTTCTACAACTCCAGTCATATGGTTCCATTCGACAACCCCCGCCAGAGCCGCGACATGCTCGATCGCTTCATGAAGGTCGATATCGCCAGCATTGGCGGCCAGCCTTCCGATTCGCGTATCGACGGCGAGAAGCTGCCCCAGACTTCTGTCGGCGGACAGGCCAACAGTACCGCTGCCGAGGAGAACGAGAAGGAGAGGCTGAAACAGACTGAGATGCACGCTTATGCTAAGTCTGGCGAGGCCGTCCTCGTTATTGTGATTATCGGTGTGATCGCTTGGGGCTTTTTCATCTGGCGCAGTCGCCGTACTCGCCGGGGCTACAAGGGCGTCTCAAATAATGATATGTCGGACAATGCATCCATTCTCAACAGATTCCAGAACAAGCATTCTGGTCGTGATGTCGAGGCTGGTGATTTTGATGAGAGTGAGCTCGACCAGCTTCATTCTCCTAGCCCTGAGCGGGAGCATTACGCTGTTGGCGAAGCTAGTGACGACGAAGGTCATGTCTCGCATCCAGAAACTGGTGAGAACCGCCAGTCTTCATAACAAGTGATTTTTTGAAGGGGTTTCAGGAAGGGGAATGATTTTTGGCATCTGTATAAAGCACACGGTGTTCTGGAGTCTTCGGTTTAATTCTAAATATGATTTTCATTCTGATATCTCTGCGATCATACTACTCAAGTGACATATTGATTATATATTCTTCCTTTTTCTGGACTCTAAATACATCAAGCCTTTTGTTTATAAGCTATTTAGACCCAACACATGCCAATTCCAAAAAGCAATTACCGCGTCACAGTCCAAACCTTGACACTCCCATCATCAGCCGTCGAGACAAGCACCTCCTCCTCACCCCCAGAACCCCGATCTGCTCTCTTCGCCCAAGCAACATGATTAATCTCGTAAATCCCATGCGCCCCATCCTGAATACCAACAAGCACCCACTCCGTTCGTAGCACATCACTAGACGCAGTATCCATAGCATCCGCATCATCCTGCTTTTCCTCCTTCTCCGGTGTAACAAATCGCTCTTCATAAATCGCAATCCGCCCATCCGCACCAGTCGAAGCAACAAGTCCGGTCCGCTTACTCCACGCAACAGCATATACAGGCAGTTCATGCGCATGCGGGAGCACGGCATCCTCCTCCCAAGCCTCGTCTGTCCCCGTAGGCCGAATGATACTCGGGATGCCCGTCGTGGCAGAAGAAAACGCGCCCATCTGCTGGGATTCCTTCGGCTGCCGCCGCCACACGCGCACGGTGCGGTCGTCCGAGCAGGAGATGAGGCGCGGGCCGGAAAGCGCCCTCTGAGAACGCCACTGAGCTTGTAAAGCGCTCAGCTCGGACTCAGAATTGGAATCGGAAATCGGCCCGTTCCATTTCTCTGCATCATCCCCCTCCCAATCCAAAAACCAAACTGTCCCCCCATGTCCCTTGATGCATGCCACCTGGCCCCAATCATCTAGATCCTCCCGCCACAGCCGGATAGTGTCGTCGTAGCTCCCGCTAGCAAGACACTCCTCGGAAGGATGCCACGAAACACACTTCACATCGCCGCTGTGCTCCTGCATCACAGCAACGGTCTCGAAGTTGTTATCGCCGTCGTCGAGATCCTCCCAGATCCAAATTGACTTGTCGCGCGAGCACGTCGCCAGCAGCATCCCCGACGCGGACCATGATACGGACTTGACTTCGCTGTCGTGGCCGTCGAGCAGGACGGCGAAGCGCCATTCTTCTTCGTCTTCTTCGCGGTCTGCGCTGTCGGCGTCAGAGGTATCCGTCGGGGTCTGGTTATTGTCATTGGTCATTCCCATCCCGGCGCCGTCTTCCCGCCCGTAATTATCCCACCGCCGCCAGATGCCGACTGTTGCGTCGAAACTGCCCGTTGCGAGAACGGACTCCCCCGACATGTGTGGCTTCCATGCTGCTGTGCGGACGGAGCGCTTGTGGCCGCCGGTGATTGTGGAGAGGAGGGTAAAGTTTGTAAGGGAGTAGACTCGGATGGTCTTGTCTGAACTGCAGGTTGCGACTATTGGGAGGGTTGGGTGCGGGGCTGTGAGCCAGGTTCGTTCTTGGGAGGGGGGTGTGAGGTCGGATAGGTGTGTGATAGTGACATTTGGAGACATGTTGGTTGGCGTTTTAGTTGGGAATTGAAGGTATTGGAGGGATTGGAGGGGAATGGAATGGAGGGATACGGTGTTGAGGTTGGATTTTTGATGGTGTGGGGGTTACTGATTAGATAGGAGGGTTGTATATAAATTTCAGATCAAATGGGACATTTCACATGTTTAACATTTCAATAATCTAGGATATATAGAAGTCAAAGGTCTCATTACTCCATACAAAACTCTAGGAACTAGTCGTATACCCTGCCAGTCTGCCCAGTCCAAAGTCCAAAGTCCCAACCTCCAAAATCCAAGAATGAAAGAACAAAAGAACAAAAACAAAAAACATAGACTGCATTATACATGCCCCTCTAAAACGCCTTCATTGTGCTGGAGCACCTTCTTCGTATAAACCCTCGTATACCGACCCGTGGCAAAGCCAATCCACCTCGCGGACCTTCTCTAATTCTTCAACCAACTTGCCAACCTCATTAACAAACTCCGGCATACCCGCACCAGCGAGCATCTGACTGGCCGTGGTGGTAGCCCGTATCCGCTCGGAGGCACTCGATGCGCTGAGACGCGAGAGGACGTGGCTGCGAAGGCGGGAGAGAATGAGTTTCGTCACTGGATCCGAGAAGCTAGCCGCGGAGGTTGTGGCTCCGTGCGACTCTGCTGAGGAGACAGATGCATCTGAGGCAGAGCTCTCTGAAGTTACTACCGCGAGCTGGGGTGCGGCTGCGAGACATGCTGTGGCCACGGGTCCGAGGACTCGTTTGATCGTAGCTGCGAGCTGGGCACTCGCAGCGGGTGGCATCGGATGTGTCGACTCGAGGATAGACTGTACTCGCTCTGCGCTGATCTCATTGAAGTCCAGAGACAGAATCCGGTCTGCTTCTGGTTTCCATTGAGACCGTGCGTCTCGCTTGAGTAGGTTCTTTGCTGTCAACAGGATGGAAGCTGTTGCGACGATTTGGAATGCCCTGGCGTGCAGCCGTTCGAGTCGTTGGCGATCGAGACTCAGAGTCTCTGGAATTATATCTTCGGATACAAGCGCATTGCTTAGAACGGTGTCGGCAAGACCTTGGGCGTAGACTCGTGTTGGTGATGGGCGTGGTTCACCCTGGATGCCTTCCGGGTCTCGCTTCTTCATCTCATCAACGATTATGTTGCGATGAATGCGCCAAAACCGTCGGACCTTCCCCAAATTGACTGTCCCGTCCGTGACGTCTCGGTCAAATGCCCGCCGCTCATAACCCGGAGCTTCTTCGATGAGCTGGGGTGCAGCAAGCTGGATCATAAAATTCGTCTGGTCGAGTGACAGCAGGTCAATGATGCTCATCAACCGAGACAGCCGATCGATAGCATCGCCTGAAGTATCCTCAATGTATGCCTTGACCACAGGGTCCCGGTAAGGAGCGCATAGGCGTGGTAAGATGTTGTTCATGAAGCCGAAGAAATTATCATAGGAGAATGTGCCAGCCTCGCACTGTCCCTGGACCAGTTTTGGATCTAAGACTTCACTAATTATCACATAAAGGGAATTTCCCTGTTGGAGTGAGCGTAGCAAGCGATCTTGGATCACTGTGGCCATGGCGACAGTCCAGTTGGTACTGTGTCCAGCTTCCACCCCTCGTCTCATTGTATCGCACATCTGCTTCATAATCTGTCTGCGTGGTTCGGTATATGGTGCTTCCTCGATCTTGAACTCTTTGTTAATAAGAAGTTCATGCACCAGCTCCCGATTTTCAGGGAGAGGAGTGAGAATTCTGGTGAATCTCTCGTGGGGTGATGTCCGCTGCTTATCCAGCTCTTGGAAAACTGCGGCATCGATGTTGTTGAATGACTCGCTAAGAGGCGATGTGACACTCTGCGTAACCGTGGTGGGAGGAGCAGTCTCAGCAGATCGGGGGATAGCTTGTTTGGAGGCAGCCTTCTTCTTCTCCCGCTTGGCCTTCTTCAATGAATCTCTGATCAACTCCATGTGTCGCTCGGGCCCTGCAAGTCTCTTCAGGCGGGCTAGCAAAAGGACCTGGTTCTGTCGGATACCCAGTCTGTAGTCTTCTGCGGCACCACCAGCTTTGTCATTCTTGACCGTCTGCCAAATCAATTCCAATTCAACGAACTGTGCGACCATGATCTCAATCAGTACGCTAGAGTCGTGGGATTTCCAAGCATGGAAAGCAGAGAAAAACACGTTGTGAGATTCACACAAGGTCTGGAGATCTGCGGTGATCACAGACGGAGAGCAACAGCCAGACGATAGCAGCGCCGTGACCTGATGAAAGGCTATTAGCAGCTCCCGGGCCTTAGCAATCAGATCCTGCTCCTGATCTCCATTGCTGCTCAGAACCTCTTGCGGGTGAGTGACGATGAGATAGCTGCTGAGGAACGTGCGTACGGCACCCCTCTCACCCAAGGCCCCACCTTCCATATCCTGTAGACCGCAGAGTCGGAGAACTTTAGTCATAGTGTCGAGCAAATTGCTGTCAGAAAGGAGAGCGCCAACTTCTTCAAAAGTCATGTCGCGAACTCGGTCCACAGACAGGTTCAATGACTGAAACTGCTGCATAACCATCTTCGCGTTGTGGGTTTTCCATACGCGCTGTATCTTCCGCGCAGCCGCATCCTGCTGAACCGACTTTGTGACCTCCCGGGACATCTTTTTCTCCTCGGTGACGGGCAAGCTGCTAGTACGCTGGCGGCGGTGTGTTTTCTGATATAATGTGCGCCGTTTCTCTGCCTCCGCAAGCTTCTCCGCCATTTCCAGACGCATGCGAGCTTGTTCGGCAGCTTTCTTCTCCCGCTGGTCCTCGGCCTTCTTTTTGGCCCGTCTGACCTGACCTTCGCACTTAGCGGTGATATCGGCGAGCAGACGCTCGCGGGCCTGCTGGGCGGCTAACGCCCTCTCTTCGAACTGAAAATTTCGTGTGGCTGCTTTAGCCAGAGCGGCTCGCAGCCTTACTTTCTCCGCATGCAATGCACGATCAGCGAGTCGTGCCTTTCGGCTCTCCAAAATGGACGTGCGACGGAGATGCTGAGCAATATGGTCCGCACTTAGCGAGCCATTTGAGGACGCGTTGGAATGGTGCGAGTGCAAGGATGACACCGAGCTTCGTCGAGATGAGGCGGTGGAGGAACGGCGGGCTTTGCTGCTTTTGCGGGCGAACCGGGCTGCGATGTGTGGTGGGAGACTCAAGGGAAGTGTCAGCTCCTCAGAGAACATTTCCACATCGAGATCGCTCACGGAATCGGGTGAGAGAGGTGTTGGACCAGCGTCCGGGAGCTGAATCTCGATGTCGGAGTTGCGACGGATCATAGTACGGCTGACGCGGGTGCGACGCGGCGCTGATAAAGTGACGAAGGAGATTCCGCGGGGCAGTACTGATAAGAGATTGGAAGAGGTTGGAGTTGTTCACAAGAATTTCACTTGTAAGCTAGGTTATAGGATCCTTGTCGAGTGATTTCCAGTCTTTTAAGAAAAGAAAGGAGCAATCTAGACGGGCTGAAATCAAGGAGTTAAATACATGCGCATCACTCGGCTGGGGGAGTGGAGGGATCCGTGCCTCGTTTCAGGACGGGAAATTAGGAAAAGGAAGTCAGATGAGTCGGCTCAATGGCTAAATAGGTGTTTCAATAAGCAAGACAGGATGAAACCAGGCAACATCATGTCTGATACAACCTGGATCGTCAATGGAATCTTGTGGCTGCAACCAGAAGCTGAGGTAAGCGCGATAACCATCCATCGCCTCTTCAGGGCTTCCTCAATCCTATTTATAGCTTGGAAGCTTGGTATGTTAGGTGGCTATCGGTTTATAGCACTTTAGTCCGATTGGCTTTTATTGTAAGAAGGGAAATGACTATCTACGTGGTTTTTAGGTTACTATAGCTACTTCTACTAGGTATTTAAATACTTTATATCGTCAAGTACGCAGTGAAAGTAGAAGACTATAATATTTCTAGCAATCTAGTGTAGGCCAAGTAAGATGGAGAGTTTCAATAAAATTGCTATCGTTGCGTCATGATACCAGTGTGCTTTAAACCGGAAAAAGAAGTGAACGCTATGCTGCAGCGAAGCCGGCTGCTTGATGTGTGTAAAAGCAACAATCCCCGAGTTGCGTTGAGGTGTGCCCTTTACTTAGTTGTGGACATTTGTAGTCATCACATGTGTAAAGGTACAGAAAATGACGGCGCTATCATTCCAGGACAGAAATATTGAGTCGGTCTTGTCAGGGATGGGCACCGGTTCAGAGATGTCTCTGAAATCGAACCCAGGGACCGGGTAGATTGTGGGCAAGGGCTGAACGATGTTTATTGCTCGCCGCAGGGGCTGATGGGGGAAAATTAAAGAGGGCAAGGATAGCTGTTGGGTCACACTTCCTTGGACGACGAGCATCTGGGTTCACTTGGAAAAATCTGGATCGGCCTCACTGATGACCGAAAATCTGAATGTGATCTTCATCTTGATCTTCCTCTTCCTCCTCGTCGTCATCCCCAATACCAGGAGAACCATCTGATTCAGCCGAGTCAGAAGACTCAGCGTCGTCTTCTTCATTCTCAGTTTCCAATACGCTTTCGGTTGATTTAGTCTCACCTCCAAACAGTCCATATCGGTATGTAAGCTTCTTGCTCAAGAAATTCAATGCACCGTAATCCTCATTCTCGCCACGAGATGGTCCCCCAAAGAAGGGAATAGATGAAGGTTTCTCTGATTCACGCTCAGTCGGCAGTCCAAAGTAGTTGCTAACGACGGGCGAGACAGCACGGCCTCGTGTAATGTTGTAGGATGAAAATCGTCTAACGGGTTCAGTAGACATAGGCGCACTGAGCCGTGAACGAGGAACTGATGTATTATTGACGTTTAGTGCTGCCAGGGAAGAGGAGATCGGGTCATCGTTTTCAGTGTATGAAGACGATCGAGGCCGAGGAAGCAGGTCTTGCCCGAAGTCTTCCTCGGCTTGAGTGGACATATCTCCGTGCAAAATGCGAATTTGGGCCGTATTGTACGACTCACATCTAGATGCTATCAGCAGGTGTTGACCATTTTTTTCGAAGAGTACATACAAATCACATCTTAAGCCGAGCCAATGGTATTTGACAACCGACTTCGAACCGCAATCGTTGCAGTAAATAAGGCCTTTGGTATCCTTGAACTCGTCAGGCATAGGCTGGCTATCGATGGTACGATCCAGGTTTCGGAACGTCGATTCCATGTTGGTGATAGTTTTGCTACAAAGCGGACAACGGAAGGAACTTTTGGAGTACTCTGAGAGACACTTGTGGTGTATACTGTGGCCACATCGCATGACGACGACGGTTTCTGGAGAAGTGAACATGTAGTCGCCACATATGGGACAGTCACACTGGGTGGACCGTTCAATGCAGCGATGGGTGTTCTCAATACATATAGGAAGACAAACAGAGCATGTCTATATGTTGTTAGTACCAGTATCGTCTAACCTCTGTCGGAGCCCTTACCTGGCAATGGAAGAAATCTTTTCCTAGTCCCTGTCCAATTCGACATATACCGCAGTCGCTGCAATGGTAGATGCTCTTTTTGCTGTCGTTATCCCAGAGTTTGCAAATTTCGCAATAATACTGCGCAGTTTGCTCGCCACACCGTCTGCAGTTCTGCGCTGCAGGCTGTGCATACCCACATAGCATACAAAGCATGTTTTCGGTATCTCGACGAACGAGAGAGTGATCTTCGACTTCATCATGACAGAAGCGGCAGGTATACCATTTTTTGCAAGTGTGGCACTCAAGTTTCACATTGCGGTGATAATGCACACACCCCAGACTAGTCTCTTCTTGTTCTTCTGTGTCACCCTCTTCGTCCCCAGTTTCGAGTTCTGGTGATTCTGTTTCTACCTTGGGTACAAAGGTGGGCTGCAGATCTTCAGCTGTGAGATTGAAGGTTGTCTCGTAAAGAGAGTCTGATTCGGAGTATGGTGAGCCCGACCTAGAAGTATTGATCTCCGAGGCCCTCGGAGTCCTCGGACTTGTTGGCAGCCCCAAGCTCGCCGGACTTGATGGAGTTGAGAATACCCCTAGACCAGGGGCGCTTCGGAGCTCACGGGATGAGTGGTAACCTTCTGTCATCAAACCGTGAACCATGCGCGCCTTTTCAACATTGGTGAGCTCCAACTCCCTGATTGCAATGATCTTGCTTCTTAGAACTCCCATCCCATCATCCGCCGGAAGAGAAGACTGTGCCAGTCCCTCCGGATCAAAGGCATTGTCGAGAGATTGCCGAGGCTCGCTGGTGGATATTGTTGAAGCATGTTGTGGCTCATTGGACGAGCTCAGCGCCTCGCTGGGATGTGAAACTAGTGAATTCCCCGAACTGTCCGGCTGCACGGTGACGTCGATTTCATGTGTGTGATCAATGGAGGCGCCTGCGGTCGCATCTATGTTTTGGATGGATCCGGGTGTGTTATGGGTCACTGATCGAGTGCCCTCCGATTGCGAGTTTCGGCCATCCATCTCTTTCGGTAGGGTTGTGAAGAAAGGAGGGCTATGCAGGGACCCCGCACCCGCATCTCCGCAATTCGAGTTCTGTCCGTGGTCTTGGTCCAGTAGAGGACTCAATTTATGGCCTTCACTATCACACGAGGGGTATGTCGGTTTGTTCAGGTGGAATTTAGCTTCGTCGTCATTTGGTTGACTGTTCGGTTGGGGTGGTAAGGGGGATAGTATTCCAGCTTGGATCAGCAATGAGGAAATGAAACCACTCATGAAGGGCTCTAAACCAGCATCTCACTAAATCGCTTTGGATGCTTGAAATCAAGCAGAATCAAACCCAAACTTGGAGCCGGAACAGCAGACATCGTGACATGTGACGTCCACGGGCACCGCCTCCGGTGCTGAATCATCGTCACATGCTCTGGAACTGGAGCCTCAGGAGATTGGCACACTTTTTAGTTGGACGGTTGGACTCGAAAACCAGGGAATATTGGGAAGGAGTAGAGACTATCATTTGGGTTGGAATTTGCTCAAAGTATTCTACCAGTAGACTATCATCAATGCTGTCTTCCTGCAGATCCTACTATGTATCTACCAATGAGTCTCAAGTCCGGAGACGAGGATTGGCTATACGATGTTGCATTGAATGCCAAGGCGTGTAGATTGCCATCGACATAATGTGCTGTATGCCATAAGATTGTAAAATACAACGCACGAGGCTGACCTAGAGGCAAGACGGGTCATCGTGTCCTACGCAATCCTGATGCGATTGAGATATGTACCGGTGTCCTGATCACGGCAATACCCGGTATGTGCAATCCCATTTTGGGCGAGCTGCCTCGCGCCGGTGCGGATTCATGCCCAAGGGAAGCACTGAGGCCTAACGGACGCACGATCTGGCATAGCGGGTCGGATCAGCACTGAGGGAGAAGTCGAGAACTGCGGGGTTCGAATCATCTGAGACATGTCCCTAGACTCTCATTCAAACGGTCAAGTGTCAAATTGTAATGGTCAAAGACACTTGTCCGTAGCTGGTTCTCTGCATGGCCGAGTCCCAGGGATCGCGGACTGAGGGCAAGTCAGCGGCTTTCTTCTCCACTTCTGTTGGTGGTCACTCACACGCGGGACTCCCTCACAAGGTGATCTTGCTCCCAATATCTAGCTAGCAAAAGGTTCTTCAAAATCTTGTGTTCCATGCCCGCAACCTCAGTAGCTCGTTCGAGAAAGCGGAGTGTGTTGGTGATTTTGGCAGGATCAAATTCTTCGGAAGGGGAGGAACGGTAGGATTTTCGCAGGGACTTTAGAAGCATATGGCGACCGGGCGTCGAATATTGAATCGCTTTCAACCCCTGTCGGTAGAGATGACGGTATGCGTGGACCATAGCTCGTGTATCCACCTTCATGGCCTGGATTGAAGCGTTCATGGCCGATCTATTGGACATGTACGAGCCAACGAATCTGGAATATGCGGCAGATGTGCAATCAGACGGAATCAGACGGAATCAACGGAGATCCGAAGTGGTGAGTTCAAATGTTGGATTCGCATTGGAGGGGAGATGAACAAAAGACGGTCAAAGTTGGGGAAAGGCTGAAGCCTCAGGCAGGACTAGCCTGATCGGGAGAGGGGGAGGAGGTGACTTGGGCCGCAATAGCCATCTTATCTGCGCTCTCTCCCTCTCTCTCTCCCTCCATCCTTCTTGATATTCTCATTCTTTCTCTTTTTTTTATTTCTTGCTCTTTGCTCCCTACGATTTTGCTCAAGTTGACCCAGAAGGCTCGCATCAAGGGCCTTGTTCCTGTTTCGGTTGACCGCGGGGTGTCTTTACTTCGTACTTTTTTCGTTACTGCGGTGCATAACACGACTGTCTTGACTTGACCACGCGCCATTCACCCTGATCCAGGCAACGAGGCACATACCATCTACCTGTTCATATCACACGTCTAATACATATTGTGAATGATGTGTTGAAATCTTCATCTTCGCAAGGTTCTGCGATAAGCTGAACCGCAAGTATGACCCGCGTCATAAGGAGAGCTGGCTCGGTCAGGCATGGCCCCGACCGGGCTACGCAAAGAAGAGCGAGAAGACACAAGGTTATTATGGAATCGGTCACCCAAGAAAAGAAGAAGCTTCGGAGTGTTGTACGTATATTCCCTGCTTCGGCATGACCAAATGATTAACAAAAAAATGGAACAGATCTGTTTTGAAGCGCAAGCACCAAGCGGCTACACCTTCATTCCTGCGGGAAATCCACAACTCACTACAACGTGCAAGGAGCGATGTCGAGACGAGGGTCTCCAGATCTACGCAGTATCGGTGAGAACCCCATCTGGTTGCTAATCATCAACACTGCTTATTTTTAAGACTACGCCCCACCATCGCCATCATAACCTGTCCCAGCATGTTCATCGGATAGGGTATCATTTCCCTAGTACCGTGGTGGCAGCTGTTTGCTCAGAACTGGGGTTCTACCTCACAAGCACCGGTAAAACAGTGCCTAGTACCTTCCCCATCCAGAAACTAGAGAACAACATTCGGGGAGAATCTGAAATTTCTCAACAAACCCTCAACACAGAAGCACGGGACGCCTTGAAGGATCTCTTTCCAAACATGCCAGAGAAGGATTTGAATCAAATTATCAAGACTGCTTTTCAAAAGGTACGTATATACTCAATCTTGATTTGAGAAATGAGAAATTGGAAAACCTGATATCCAAAAAAGGGTCAGAAAAAGGTTGGGACTGCCACCGAATTGCCTTTGGCTCGCAGAGCCCAACTCGCTGTGGTTGCTCACGTTCGGCATGTCTACACTGACTACGATCGCCTTTTGAAAACCACTTCCTTCCACGAAGCAAGAGGGGTTGTGGAACACACAACTCTAGCAAAAGTCATTGAGTGGCGAGGAGACGATGAGAACGGCCAGACAGTTCTGGAAGATGTTTTCCGCGAGGTGATCGTTATCTCGGACGACGAAGACAGTGAATCAGAAGAAGATGCGGTTGCTTCAGCAGGTCACCAGGACACCAGTGTGGAAATACTTGCAAGCGATACTCGGGCCCATGAGATCCGATGCCAGCCTATGGACAATACGAATTCTCTTGGTCAGGATCTTCCACGGGAACTATCCGAGGAGGCACCACCTGGGTTCCGATTTGTCACAAGAGCCCCAGCCACGGATACCATCAACCGTCGAGGATTTAACAGGTACAAAGCATGGACCCGAGCTGTCAAGGAGTATAGAGAGGGTATACAGGGCACCGAAGAACCGAGGTTTTCCGGTGCCCCCGCTGAAAAGCAAAGCCCTCGATATGCCGAGCAACGCATTACTAAGGAAGTACCTGCTGCTAGGCGCCAGGATATAGTTCCTCAACACGCCGAGGTTCATCGGCGAGTCGCTCCAGGCTCAGCCAGTAATGATAACCAAGCACATCCAGTGCTCGCTATTCCACTAATGGACCGACAGAGACATGTAGGTATCCAGGAGAACTATCTTCACTCGGATGTCCAACAGAATTATTCAACCTATGATATGAACGCCAGGCCAACTGGACTAACTAATAAGGAATCACCCGAGTTACAAATCCTAGAAGAACTCTCTGGGCCCAGGAATGTGATCATGAGCCACTCGCAGGATGTCCCTCCCTCTAGGATGGAGCCCATATTCCGACAAGAAAGACTGCCTCCTCAGTCGGACAGGACCAACGCACCTGTGTTTGTGAGCGGACCAAAGGAAAATCGCCAGAAATTGACCCCAGTGGGACGGTACCCTGACTCCGTCAATACCCCTCTTCTCAGACCAGGTTCAAACACACAGGACTCTATCTTGCCCTCAATCGAAAACCCCCGGCCAATAGAAAGCCGGTGGACTGACGCTTCGCATCCTTTGGTACATATGACCAACAAAATGTCCCTCCGATCGGTCACGCCAGGGTATTCTCAAGGAGAGATAGGGCATCATCCCGATGCCATCGAAAAGGAAGGTGACAGCGAACACGCGAGCAAAAGAAGGCGTCTGACATGTCGTGAACGTTCTCGAACCGAGTCCCGCCCAGACCCGTGGAGTGCAAGGCCTATGGGACTTCCCGTTTCCGAAGGATTCGCGCCACACCCTTATCGTCGCCTTGAGCTTGTCCAAGACCACCGACCCAAGGAGCTACCTCATTTCCGTCGGGACTATCTGCCAGTGGAACAACCCCCTGTTGTAGGATACCAGCGGGAAAGGAACCAGAACTCGCTTTCTTATTCCAACGCACAATATGGCCTAGAAACAAGGTCAGTCTTGGGTCGACAGCATATCAGCGGACCATACGAGCCTAAAGCTCAGGCTGGGCTTTCCAGTACCAGTATCGTTGTCTCGGAAGGGGATCGCACCTTCCGAGCGGCTCCAGCCGTATCCAATTCCGGACCGTGGCATCCTTACCATGGTGATCGTAGTTTCCGTTCGGACCGTGCTCCGAAAGAGCCGCGGGCTATGCGGCACACCCGCATTGATAGTGGCCGCCCTTTATCAGAGAACGTCCACACAGACAGGAACCTTTATGCCGAGGACTTTGTCCGGCATGTTGACCACCGTGAGCCCCCTCCACTTGAATACGTCTCCAGGCGCGCCGGACCAGAGGCCACGCCCATTGGAGAACCGTCTCAGTCCACCCGGATTAGAGACTTTGACTACCTTGGCACAAAGAATTTGTCTCAAGTTTCGTCGGATCAACGTGGCTCATTGCCCAAAGGACCGCGAGTGACTCCTTCCCATGATCACCTTCGCACCTTTTCAGACTCTATCATAGGAAAGCTCCAGCCTCACGTGTCCCCCCATGAAAGACCAGCCAGCGGCGGGTTCAACTCCTTGCGGTAAGCCTTCATTGGGAAACTAACCACTTCAACAACACAACTTTCCCCTATGCCCCGAGAAGTTCCGCACTAACCCAGATACAGACCATCCTCCAATTACCCTTCCTCATCCCAAACTACGGAGCAGGATCGCCCAGTCTATGTTCAAAGAGTTGAACCACGTCCACCCTATCCCCTCCCTGATGGAAGACATTTCGTGATTGTGGATTATTAATCCTATCTACCACCACATCCCCCCTTTGTTTTGAGATGCTTTGTATTGCATTCGTTGCATTTATTGCATTGATTGCATTGTTGTTCATGATACCCTTGCGCATATTCTTAGAATTTCTCTCCTCATGGGTCTCAATACCAATTTGAATCGGGAACTGCGGTCCCCTCGTTTTCTATCTATTTCATTTCTCGTCATGGGTCATTTAGTCATAGGAATTCCAGAGCAACCTTAAAACCTTCCGAAGTTGGAATGCATGCTATTGGTATGTTCGACCTAGCACTGCCTAGCAACCGAGTCTAGTCTTGGGCCTGAGTACCACGAGCTTAGGCAAGCTCGCGAGTTTGACTTCCAGGCCTCATGCGAAAAGGGGTATATATAAGACCGGAAACACCGTGAGCATTGAGAGAATCTAAACCTGCTTGCTCTCCCCATCCGCCTCTCCACTGTTCACAGTCTTTCCAGTCTTCTTAATCTTTTCCAGCACATCGTCGTAGGCAAGAGTAGGCTCGGTGGTGACATTGACCGTCTGAGTCTCGAGGCTAACATCGAAGGTCTTGACGCCTAAAGACCAACGTGTTAGGATCAAAAAACGATGAAACAGGCCGCGCGTCGCTTACCTTCCAGCTTCTTGAGGACACGTTCAACGGCGCCGGAGCATCCGCCGCAGGTCATGGTCACATTGAACTTGTACTGGTGATCAGACATGGTGGGAATTTGATTTGTGTTGGTGCGGGGTGTTGTTGAAGGAGGGGAAGATGATGCTTGGCGGATAACAGCGGACTTCCGGTTTCAGGTGAATATACCAAAAGGAGGAATGGCTGAGAGAGAGATAAAGAGAGAGAAATAGAAAGAGAGAAAAGGAGATTATATACTTCTTATTCTACCTCGGCGTCCTCCTTGGTGATCTGCATTTGTCATAATTCATCCCTTTGAGAATGAGCCATATTCGCGATTGGTTAGCCAATGTCTCCTGTAGTAGGCCATATAGTGCGGAAGTATAGAGTATGTATTATTGAATTATTTGATCTATAAGCCATTTCTAAAATCCAGCTGCTCTTTTCTTCTTCTGTTTCGGCTTCTTGAGTGGTCGGGCTCCAAAAGCTCCCCGCTCCATCTGGGTCATCGACACATCATCCATCGCGGGCTGACTACTGGCGACGTTGAGTCGGGGAGGTGCGAGTGGCTGACTGTCCCATGTCCGGATCATAGGAATTACCGGAGTCGCAGGGAGGGATTGGTCACGAGGCTGTGGGCGTTTCTTCCGTCTGCTCCTGGGTGTGCGTGCCCTCGTCTCCCGCATTTCCTCGTCTTCCATCCTCTCCCATGAATAGTCTTCCGGGTTGGTTCCTACCGACCAGTGCGCTAAGAGGTTTGTCACGTTTCGTGGTGCTGGACGTGGGGTCTTGAATGTGGTGAACGCTGAGAGACCACTCAAGACCGGGACTGCGGTGTACTTGGACTGCTGGATTGGCATTGCGTCTGGTTCAGATCCAAAGACTTGGCTTTTGGCCATTGATGATTGGCTTGCAGGGATCTGCGATGATGATAATGAGAAGTAGCTCGATTGCAGATAATTGTTCTGTGTCGCGGCCTTTTCATTTGCCTTCTCAATTGCTTGGTCCTCGACAGGATCTGTGGGCTTGGCCAGTATGATGCTATCTAATGAGGTAGAGATTTTTACTAGGCGCGAAAGGATGAGATCGACAGCAACCCCCCGAATGACTTTTTCTTTCATGAGTCGGGTCTGCACGGGGATGGCGCGAGGCAGGGTAGACATCCAATCATCGACGATTCGATCATATGTATTTAAAAGATCGTTATCTGCTTCGCCTGAGAGTTTGGCCGGGATGCCATAACTGCCGTTCGGTGATGGGAGTGGTAGAAACATATATCGACATTGCGCGTTGGGGTTCGGCTGTTTAGAGACGAGTGCTGAAATGAGTCGTTGCAGATCATCTGCTCTTTCATCAAGACCCTCGGCCAGAAGTTTCTTGTCGGTCAATTCAACCATGGTTTTGCCTGGAGGTTGGTCCGATCCATTCTCCATTTCGATTTGGAGGTCCCCTATTAACGCATCAAATGTCCTTGGTTTGGGCATTAATCTCTTCGTCTGCTTTTGTGGATGGATTTCCATTTTCATTTTCCCTGTCGCTATTTGGTAGACGCCAGAAAAGTCCAGGGTCCACTGCAAGTCCGACCTTGTATCAACGCGGCCCATTTGGGGTTTGCAACGACGAACAATCGTTTGCTTTGTCGCTGATTCATCCCAATCATCCACAACAAAGTCATCGGTGGGTCCAGCGCATATTGTCGGAGCATAACGCTTTCTTAACCGCAAGATACTGCTTTCGCGAAACGAGTCCGGCTCGTCTGGGTTTCCGCGCGGGGCCTCGAAAGTAGATTCGTGGACGGCAAGATTGGAATCCATCCAGAAAAGCTTGATGAATGGCAAGTCGGCGTTGTAGAAATTCCTACCCACTGGTGCAATAGAGTGGGCAATTTCTCTAAATACGAGTCTCGAGAATCGCACGACAGAGTCGTGTTGAGTTGACGGTATATCTGCCAACAGGGGCGCATCTAGCACCAGGGGATCGGGTACAGATATGGACTCAGTCTCTTCATCGGATATGAAGGGACAAGGGAATACTTGTACTAGCCGGGTGAGCTGTGAATACAGAACGAGATACAGATCTAGATAATAACTTAGTATTAGAAGTCCGTGTTCAATCGCGCAAGCACATACCTTGGTATACGACTATGTCGCTAAGTCGCAAGGTCGTGTCTTCGGGGTCTCGAAAGTGCCTCCAGGACACTCGAGGGTATAGTGAAAGACTTGTGTCATGCTCGCCTGGTAGGGCTCCGACATCAAACCACATTATTCTCGTTGTCGTCAGGACGAAAAACTGTGATGGCTTGCGCGAGTTTGTTTGAACATCTAGAACCCACTCAGATGGCTTTGTCATTCCCAACTCAACCGTGCGTGTTGGAATCTGGTCATCCGTGAAGGCATAGATTATGACGTTGTGACGATTGGAGACAAGTAGCGATCCAACATCATGGACCCACTCGATTGATGCCCAGCCATCAAGGCGAGGGCAACCATGTTTGCGTTTATAATCCTGCATGGGCAACGAGCCTGATTTGACAAGCTCGGCAGCCCAAGTGGCCTGCTGGAGTCGCTGTCTGCCGGTGATCTCCCAGACACTCCACTTACCTCTGGTGTCTACAATGGCGAATTGTCTCTGATACCAGGGGTTAAAGGTCACATCTGCATGTGAGAAGCCACCTGTTTGCGACACACATAGCTCCGCGATTGGATTCGCATCCAGCCGAGAGTTTTTCAAAGGGGTGGATGATCCCAGTATACTATCCCCCGAAGGGCACATAGGCACAGGGTCGAAATGGTAAAGAGGTCGGAATATTGTAGTCGTTGCAGGGAGACGGGCAGCCAGGAACATGGGCTTCTCCTCCAAGGGACGTGCAAAGTGTACTTGACGTACCGGCGCACCACACTTGGACCATTCAGACATTTCCTGGTCACTGATAGATGGAGCACGGAATGCTAACTTCTGTGGAGAAGTCAACTCCAAAATCTCCTCTTCCAGTGTTCGAAATGAGATTATATTACGACATTCTCCGGTAACAGCCACCGCAATTGCAACTGAGCGCAGCCTCTTGTCATGACGCCTTTGATCCACCGCATAACCGAGATCAAAAAGCTCAGAGACCTCCGGGTCATATTTTTCGGCTACAGTCGTGATAGCTTTCGACAAAGGTTCAGCGCGAATGGAGGACCACGATGCCGCCAAATCAGGATGCGCGCTTGTGATTAACCTCCTAGGGTCTTTCTCGGGTACTCTGGGTATTGGTCGAGCTTTGGCTGAGCGGAAAGGCGATGGGATTTTTGTCTTGGTCACACCGGTATATTTGATCAACGGGGCTTGGGAACATGTTAGCTGGTTTGAAGAAAAGGAGGCTCAAGTACCTACGCCTAGCAAAAGAACGAGTGAACGTCCATTCCTGCTCCTCAGGAAGATAGACAGCTCGTCCGACGTGCCCATAGTGGAGAGCACTGCTTGTATGTTCATCCATCAGGTTCAGGACTTGGCGAAACCATGTCGAAACTGGTTCAGCAGTCAGAATTCACCCGGTCATATACATATGCGCATAATGTCAGGATGCAGAGCTGCGGAGACGGTACCGGGAAGTTTTTTGATCCTTATCGATAAGAATCGGAGTTGTTGCGCCGCAACCCAAAACAACTCTCGCATTGTCCCCGCGTCAACCTCAAACTTCACCATACACTACTCACAATCTAATTCTCAATACTATGGCTTCTTCATTCGAACCGTCGCTCTCCACGAGTGGCATGCGCCCACCACTCGCCTCGGCGGACGCGCCGTCAATGGCAGACTCATTGCCCAGCATCAACTTTGGGTTCGAGGACCTCCGCAATACCATGGCACAATTCACAGTGAAGTTCGACGCATTTATTGAGCGCGGTCGCAAACGAGTCTTAGAGGAACGAAACCAGTTTCACATTAATATGGCTGAATATGAAGGTATGAGTTGATACTTGAACACCCCCGTTCCCACCATATCCCACGACTGTGCCTAACAAAACCTGCCAGAGGACGAGCGCATGCGACAGCGCGATATCGAAATTCTCAACCTCAAATCACAAACCCATGAACAAACCCTTCAAAAGGAAGCAGCCGAAGCGGCTGAAATGCACGCGGCTATCTCATCTATCACCTTAGAACGCGATGCCCGCCTTACCAAACGCGACCGTCTGAAGCAACAGATTGCCGAGACGCAGAAGGCGATAAGTCAAAAGATCGAGGCACAGAAGTCTCACGCACAGTATTTAGATGCGCAATCGCGTCTCAATTTCCCGGAGTTGGAGTTCTGGCAGGATTACCTTTGTATTAGAATTGAAGGCGCCGGTCGTGAGGACCGGTTAAAGTTTGTCTATAGCCATCTATTGGAGAAGGATTGGGAGGCGGAGGCTTGGTTTGAATTGGGCACTGCCAGTCGCGACTATGAGGTTTTCCATACGCGCCCCAAGGTTGACCGGGATGCTTTGGAGCATGTCGTAGATCTCGTGAACGATGACCGAGATTTTGGGGCGTTCTTGAAGCGGATGCGCAAGTTGTTTGTGGAGGCGATGAAATAAGCACAAGTACACGGTCGTTTGGGTCACTGTCATTGTTCCAATACGAATTTCATGATTTTTATGCATAGTTCAGTAAGGTTTTCTAGGTTCCATTGAAATCGTCATAACGCAGTTGCAAGGACATTTCTGCAACGCCCCATGTTCAGCCACTCCTTTACCCAGTAGCCTCGCGGTAGAATGCAATGCTGCGGTTTGCGCCAGCGGTGGCGAACCCTTCTGTCTTGCCGATCTTGGGAAGCCACTTGGCGTTCCAAACGGCTTTATCTGTTTCTGAGTGTGTAGCGACACATGTCTTGGTCTCCATAGACCAAACCTTGACCTTGCCGTCAAATGAACTTGAAAATGTCAGCTTGCCGGCGTATAGACGCATAGGATATTGACTGACCTGCTCAAAAGGTACTCGCCAGTATCACTCCAGGAAAGGGACAAGATCCAGGCAGAGTGCCCTGAGAGATTGGCGATTTGTTCACCAGAGGAAGTGTCATACAGCACAATGACCTTGGAGTCGCCAGCAGCTGCTAGGATCTTGCTTTTAGGCGAGAAAGCCACAGCTCGTACAGGATTGACCAAACCTAGGCCGAATTAGAACTTGTATTTCTGCTCGGCTCAGACAACTTCGCTTACCTGAAAGAGAGAATGGCATGCGGCCTGTTTCGGTGGTGAAGATATAGACTGCGCCGTCTTCGTGGCCTGAAGCGATCAACCGACCATCGGGGGACTAGACGTCAAGGTTAACAGGGGCCAGTATCTGGCTGCATTTGAAATCTCACCAAGTCGATGCAAGTACCAAAGCTGCCCTTGGTCTCATGGTCTCGAATCCGAGTGCCATCGGCAGCCAAATCCCATACATTAATGCGCCCCTCTTGCGTGACACCAGCAAGGTATTGGCCATCTTCGGAAATAGCTATGGCCCAGGCATCGGCATTTGTGAGGTCGGCTGTGGTGCTATTAGTATTGCACCCTGTAGCCTATCAAAGAGGGGCAGTTCTTACCAGTCAGCTTGGTGTCTGCAGCCCAATGCCCATCCTGACAAGACCAGACCTTGATTTCGCCATCAAACCCAGCGGTGATTGCACGGGAGCCATTCCCATTGGTCACGATGTGGTGACAGCCAATGGTATGGGCACCATCAATGGACTGCACCAGCGGGAAGTCAGCGTCGATGGTGGAATGCACTTTGATGGACGAGGCACCCGATGTTGATAGAATTTGCTTGTCGGTTATAGCCAGCGAGAAGATATCAATAATGTGCGCTATAAAACAGATATTAGCCAAATCACCCAGGATATATGTGCATCGGGAAGCCCACCATTGTCCGCAGAACCCCTCGAGAGGTATTGTTTCGACTAAAATGTCCCTTAGCGATAAAATCTATTGATTTTTGATTTGACCTTACCATTCTGATGATGCCGTGCTCACTCACGGCTGTGTCGAGACTTTAGTTGCGGAGGAGCAATGACGTTGGGGCCCGAAGGCGCGTTCCGCCTTTATCGGCGCCTTTTTTTTTCTCTTTACGGCTGATAAAGGCATCTTGTTGAAGATGATAGTTACCACATGCAAATTAGGTATATATACCGTGCTATAACAACTCTACTGAGCTAAGTGTCTCTATATTATTGGATAGCAGGTAATAAAATTAAGCTTGGAGCTAATCAGGGTTGAAATAGTCACTGTTTACTCTGTACTTGGTATTATTGACTACATGTATCTATCTAGTACCTCTTGTCTCGACTACGTGGCTATAAAGCTAGTAGTGAGCCAAGTGGGAGCCAAGTAGAGGCAGATACGCTCACATATAGAGCAGTAAAGTCGTAATAGCATGAATATGTCTAATTATTCCCACCCGGACTAGCCGCCGTCACCATAACATCTACAATTGTACTCCGGAGTGCCTTTTGCTCCGGAGTTACATGGAAAGAGGTAAATTGAAAAGATCACAGCGTTCAAATCCGACCTAGGTCGGATTGTTATAAAGTCATATCGAAACATTTCCCCCGCAAAACCAAGACGCCAGTTGCCATGCAGCATGTATCCACATCCAATTCTAGAAATACAATCTCTTTTGTTGAGCTTGAGCCTGGGATTTTGGAATGTTGATCCTGCTTCCCAAGAACAAGCCCTTATTTCTTACAGTGCTCTCATGCCATATCCAGAGTCCTCCACGATTCCTTGATGTCTGTTGACTAGTCAGCTTCTCCGCAATAATCACATATATGTTCCTCCAGCTTGGGCTTCGGTCCTACCTTTAACACAAGTTGGGCACAGAAGATGAGCACGCTTGATCTGGCCACAGCCCGGGCATCTATTAAGGCTCTTCACGTCTTTGAGGGCCTTGCCGGCCATTTGTCGATGACGCTTCTTCATGTGGGAGGTCTTCTTCTTAGGAACGGCGCGCAGGACGGAATCCCAAAGATCGGAGAGGAGGGATGGGATATTGAGAGAGATCGAAACCGGTTGTAGGAATCCGCTGGTCGCGATGGGTGTGATCGGGAGGAACCGAGCGAGTCGGGGGAATTGGAGGTACTCGGACAGAAGTGAGCGCGACATGTTTGCCGGAGCGAAAGGGAGGAGGCGCAATGCCATGGTGAGGGTATTTTTCAAGAACAAAAAACGGGGGTTCGTCCTCAGCTGGTGGTGCGAGCTATCACAAGGTCTGAAGCAAAAGCGCAATCGGGGAAGACGGTAGTTTTCTCGTGGAGAGACGCTAGGCCCGATTAGGAATAGCCCACCCCTGAGTTCGGAAAGAGGACGATAATAAGGGGTGCTCTTGCTTCAACTACATACTTCTCTTCTCTTCGGGTCTTTTTGGGGCTTCTATTTCTGTCTTTCGTTCAGCTTCAATATCATCTCTCCGTCCATAATGGCCACCGCTACCACCGCAGCTACGGCTCAACAGCCCACTGTTTTCCCCCATAGCCATGTCGGTTTTGACAGCATTACCTCGCAAATCGAGCGCAAGCTGTTGAAGCGTGGCTTCCAGTTCAATGTCATGTGTGTCGGTATGTGTTGGGCAATACCTGCGCGGCGATGAAAGCCTCAAGCTAATGCTTTCACGCGTAGGCCAAACTGGTCTCGGAAAATCGACTCTGATCAACACTATCTTCGCATCCCACCTGATTGACTCCAAGGGCCGTCTCACCCCCAATGAACCCGTTCGCTCCACCACCGAGATCAAGACAGAGTCGCACAGTACGTTTGTCATCAGGGAGTTGAGCTCGATGCGGAATAGCTGACGGGTGACTAGTTATTGAGGAGAACGGCGTGCGTCTTCGCTTGAACATTGTCGACACACCTGGTTACGGTGACCAGGTCAACAACGATCGATGGTAATTCAAGCCCCATCAAGATGGAGCCACTAGGTCTAAGCTAATCATGATCAGCTGGGACCCCATTGTCAAGTACATTAAGGATCAACACTCGGCATACCTGCGCAAGGAACTCACCGCTCAGCGTGAGCGTTACATCCAAGATACTCGTGTTCACTGCTGCTTGTTCTTCATCCAGCCCTCCGGCCATGCGTGAGCTTACCCCGCGCATTCCTTAGCTTCCTGAGAGCTCCTCTGGACTAACTCATTGACCCCGCATAGCCTCAAGCCCATCGATATCGTTGTTCTGAAGAAGCTGTCCGATGTCGTCAACGTTGTTCCCGTTATTGCCAAGTCCGACTCCCTCACCCTCGAAGAGCGTCAGGCCTTCAAGGAGCGCATCAAGGAGGAGTTCGCCTTCCACAACCTGAAGATGTACCCTTACGATAATGACGAGCTCGATGATGAGGAGCGTGCTATCAACGCTCAGATCAAGGTATGCTTGACCCAGGTAGAGCTATTCTGATTGGATATTGACCTCTGGTTACAGGACATCATTCCTTTCTCGGTTGTTGGCAGTGAGAAGACCATTGTTGTCAACGGCAAGCAGGTTCGCGGCCGCCAGAACCGCTGGGGTGTCATTAACGTCGAGGACGAGAACCACTGTGAATTTGTCTACCTGCGCAACTTCCTGACCCGCACCCACCTTCAGGATCTGGTCGAGACTACCAGCCAGATCCACTACGAGACCTTCCGTGCCAAGCAGCTGCTTGCCCTGAAGGAAAGCAGCGCTGCCGGTGGTGGCCACACCGGTGGAAACCGGCCTATCAGCCCCTCCGCTGACCGAGAGCTGAGCCGCAACTCGCAGCGCACAGGCATGAACGGATACTAAACTCTGATCTTTCATGTCTGATGTGAGCGCTGTGACCGTTGCGCGACGGCGCTCTTCGAAAACTTACTGTCCTCTTTTGACGCCAGCAGGCCCTTGCAGATATCCCATTTTTCCTTTCTTTTGCGTTTTGTTTTTATCGTATCCTACATCCCATCTTGTGTCTTCTTGGGAGAACCATTGAGCTTGTATTGCCGGGGAAAAAGAGAATTGGCGCTCCCGTGCTCGTGCCATCTCTGGTGCTTTCCATGTACTTAGTTTTCTTAATTTTAACTTGACGAGACTTCTATTCTTGGATTGAAAGATATCAAACGGGGATGTCGCCTTTTTGGCTATGTCGATTAAATCACATTTCCTATGCATAATGTAGTGTACTATTGCGCAACACCGAACTTACCACCGTCAACAACCCAATCCCGCAGCTCAACGTATGCTTTCTCCAGATCGTCATTCACAACGATCCTATCGTGAGCCTCCGGGAGCTTTGCATACTCAAGCTCGTTCTGGGCTTGGGTGAGTCTCTTCTGTAGAGACTCCTCGGTCTCAGTCCCACGGCCACGGAGACGCTGCTCCAACACCTCGAGAGAAGGTGGGGCAAGGAACAAGAAACGCTAGAGATCATCAGAGGAGCGCACCATTATCAGATTGTCTAGGACACCTACCGCATTGAGGTCCGTCAGCTTCACCTGTTTGACTCCTTCCATCTCAATGTCGAGTATGCAGATGCGCTTCTTCTCGGCGATATTCTTGACAGCCTGGACAGATGTTCCATAGTAGTTTCCGCCAAATTGAGCTGCGCTATCCGTTAACTAACGTCCGACTTCTCTTCTTGTAGCGTGCGCAGTGTCCACCAACCATGTTCGATAAACCCGTTGTTGGCCACTAGGTCGAGGAATGCCTCTTTCGTGACGAAGTTATATTCACGGCCATGTTGCTCGCCGGGTCTCGGGGATCGTGTGGTTTCTATTCAGGGGGCGCGTGAGCAAAGCCGTTTGCGAATTCATTTAACCCCTCCCTTTGTGTTGGCACCGACCCGAGATAGAAAATCCAAACTTTTCAGGGTACTCGGCGAACAAGCGCTTGAGCAGAGTCGACTTTCCGGTCCCCGATGGGCCGGAAATCACAATAGGGCGGTAGGCTTTAGTATAGAAGTGGTCCTGTCAGTTGTGTCTGCGTCGCATGGGGTTATGTTCTGCCATGGTGCATTTCGACTTACCAGCGGAGGCCATTGTAGATGCAGAGTGAGTCGCGCGTACTAATGGTTTGAAAAACGCTGAAAACCCACGGAAGGACAAGAGAGGCATATAAGGACTGAAATAAAAATGAACAAAGCGATTATTTAGCTGAAGACGGCTTTGTTCCGTCCCAATACAGCTTAGCCTGTTTATTTAATAGGAAGGCGGAACAAATTCATCTGGGCCTTTGTATTTCTTGGCGCTGGCTATTATATAGGTTGTATACATGCGAGGTATCAAACAAAAGGAAAGGACAAATACCAATGTATCAAAGTATCAATATCCAAGTACTTGGCCTCCCTGCTTTATACATACATTTCTGCACTCGATCATTTGGGAGGCAGGGTTTGGTGGCTTCCTCGTCGCGATGGATTCATATTACCCACCTCGGCTTCTTGCTCCAGGAAATTAGACCATAGTTCGGCCAATGTCTCCTTACTAGAGGCACCGTTGTCCATGAACTCCGCTAGATTTGGCGTGCTCGGCGTGCGGAGGGGAGTGCCAGGGACTCGGAGCTTCCCGGGCATATTCGAGGTCCCTGGGCGAGCAAGACCTGCCTGTTCACGTTGCTCTATTGATAATTAGATCGGCTCGAAAAATTTTCATTTGCATTTAGCAGTACTCACCGTCGTTCCAACCTAATAGGGCAGCGATCAGTTGCAATATTTGGAATTTCTTCGGGTCAGATCGGTCCAAAGCAAGGAAGTGCAGGAAATGGTTCGTGACAATATGTCTGTATGAAGTCAGTGTGAAACCGAGGTAGTTCGAGGTAACAAGGACATACCTGTCAACATTATCTTCCGGCTTTCCTTTCTTGAGGAACCGTAGAGCTTTCGTCAGATGATCATTCAACGTGACTGCCTCATGCCGTAGCTTGCCAATCAGAAGGTTCTTCTCCTTGACCTCTTTCTCAAATGGTCGGACTCGCTCAATCTCTTCTTGGGCCTTCTGCAGACCCTTGTCAGCGTCAGTGGCCTGCTTCTGTGCTTCCCGTAGAGAGCGTCTGAGCTCCTCGAGTTGAGAATCAGAGCTCTCGACAAGCTCCCGCAGCTCTTGCTTTCGCGCCAATTGAATTTCCTGCAAAGCCCGCTGAAGGCCGTCAACTGTTGACTGTTGGGTGTCGCGTTCCTGGGTGGCGCGTTCATAACCATCTCTCAGGCTACTGAGCTGCTCCTCCAGATCCCCGACCTTCTCGTTGAGGTTCTCTCGGATAGACCGCTCCTCCATGGCAAGGATTTCCCAATTATGCATAGCCTCCTTCGCCTGTTCAAACTCCGACTGGAGGTATGACTCCTGCGCGAGCAATTCTTCCTTCTCCTTGAACCAATTCTGCTGGGATAAGTTCGTCCGGTCCCGAAGAGTAGACAGCTCCTTCTCTCTCTCTGCTGAGTCGCCCGATAGTTCTAAGAGTTGGTTGGACTTTGAATCGAGCTCTTCCTTCAAGTGGTCGTTCTCATCTTCGAGCTCTTCGATCTGTGATCGCGCTAGAGATAATTCCTCCTATAGGGCAGGATTAGCCAAAAAGCCCGAGTAGTGAGTTCTGAGCCACGCACAGCATCCTCCTTGAGTCTCTCCCCTAATTGCGATTTTATGGTGTTAACTCGTTCCAAGAGCATCTGGAACTGCGTTTCCGCCTGCTCCTTTTTGCTCTCCGCGTCCTCCAATTTCTGCTGCAGGGCTTCCATGTCTGCGGTGTGCTTGGACTGAATCTGTTCCAATGATTTTCGCATATCGGCTACTTCCGCGCGTAACGAGTCGCGATCTCGAACAAGTGCATCGAATCGGTCTTTTGGCTCGGTGCCAGCGGAAGCGGGGTCGGACTGGTTATCGGTTTGTGGGGGGGCATCGCTAGTAGCCACGGACTCCTGGTTCTTGACAGACCGATCAGGCAGGCTGCCGTCTATCGTGGCGGGCTTGGCGCCGTTGGATTCTGGCACTTGTACGGCCTCGTTGGCATCATTGTGCTCGTTCTTGTAGGGTCTCAGCAAAGGTACAATGACAATCGGGGGAGGTTTACCACATACATCAGTGTCATTATGATCAGCTGGCGCATCCTCTTGGGGCTCGTCGGCCTTGGAGTCGGCCTTGGCTTTCGCGGCCTTCTTCTTGTTCTTCTTGGACTTTGCGCCTTTTGCGGGGTCAGCGGGTTCCAATTCACAAAATGAATGCCCTTACTTGGTGTAGCAGACGGTGGAATTCCCTCGCTCATGCTGTGTGGTGTTTGGAAAGGCCTTGGGAGAGGAAGATGGTGAATTCCTAAGGTTACAGGGTAAGCTGTCAACACGGCTTAGCGCCCTTTCCGCCCTATGGCTCGATGATTAATCTATCAACCTCCCTAGGGCTATTCTACTTCTCTAGGGTTGTCTTTTTAATTTAATTTTCACTTTTAATTTGGTGTGTTTTTTTGGCCTGTATCTACCTCGACATGTTTGGATCTTTTATGGTTCTGTACTGAAGTGCGTATGGGGCACACTGCGAGCCTCGTAGTTCCCATAGTATGCCAAGGGAATTCACATGGTGTATGTCCATTGAAAAATAATCCTAGCATGCTTACGACATTAGTAAGACGTCGGGTTTTGAGTATTTATCTATCTCGCTATATCATTGTATATGACCGTAGTAGATAAAAAGAGGCAACAGGGATAAGAGGACTGCTTTGTTGTACTCATATCAATCATCCTCCGTGGTATAGAATGCAGAGGGTATAATTTTCAGTTCGCTGGCTGTGAAAAGTACACACAGGAAAAGGTCATCTTCCTTCGGTGTCCATCACATGAAGTCGTCGAGGAAATCCTCATCACGGTCCTGGTTGTTGCTAGCCTCCAGGTTCTCTTCCGTGAACATATCATCATATGCATGATCTTTCTGCCACTTGAGCTGTTCATACTCTTGCTGCTTCTTCTTTTCCTTCGCACGCTGTTCATCTCGGGCCTTGCGATCACCGCGCTGCTTCTTCTTCGTGTCCTCTTCCTTCTCGGCTCGGAGATCGGGGTACTTCTCAACTCGGGTCTTGTTCAACCGGTTGACAATTGGGTTCTCCCGCTGCTTGACATAGACCTTGCGGACCAGTTTGTGATTGTGGAATGTGACTTGACCGGCCGCCATTGACCCGTCTTTCTTTAGGTTTGACCATGGTGTGTAGATAATGGTAATGTTGTCCTTCTTGTTTCCTTCCCAGAAGTCAGTCTCCATCGGTACGAATGCTTGGATTCATGTCGAGGACTGACCTTCAATGGAGTTCGCTTTCGTGAGCTGGGCGCAGTCCTCTAGAAGCGGCGCGGCGATGTTGTCCCATGTTTCGCCTTCTCGAAGGCGTACGTAGACGTGTGCACTTGACAAATTGTCGACGTGGAACTGCAAATGTATAGGGTTAGGGCGATTGGCGTTGTCGCAAGTCGGACAGGGAAAGACTGACCCTGTTGCGCAAGAATATCAGCCCCGAAGTTCTACAAATATATACCGGGAAACATACCAGACATCATTGTCCAATCCATATTTTATGAGTTCCTCGTCTGACACCATTGTTAGAAGTTTATTCCCTAGGTTGACCAAGTCGGTGACATACTCTCGAATTTGTCCTTGCCGACATAAATAAAGGCGGAGGGCTCAACGACATTCGATGTGAAATAGAACACCATGGTGACGATATTCAATCCTTCTTTTCATTCAAATGACCTTGTTCGGGCAAATCGGGTTCTCACAATTCGTGATCGGCGCAGGTCAAAAGTTGAAATGGCGCGCTGGTGGGGGAATCTTTATCTATAGCTTAGTCAGCAGTATAGATCTCCAGGGCTCCAGGCCTCCAGGCCTCCAGCAGGGCTAGAAGCCTTATTCGCCCTCGAGATGTCATAAAAATAAAGCTGGGCAATTCTTATCCGTGCTTTCCGGTCAACTTGGCTAAGCTTGGCTTTTATGTGAATATGCAAATACCTGTGTCTGGGAACTACAGGGTACTTATGTTTGTATAAAAAGCAAGGGAAAGAGACTGAGCACAGTTTATAACTCCTTTAAGATAGAGTATGAACCTTATCCGAATTCTATAGACTACGTAAAACCTCGCCTTTGACATGGTCTAGAATATTTGAATTCGCAATCCTTGCCTAGTTTTTATGTATAGAACCTGCACCCGTGTATAGCTTTAGAATGCAAGAGAATAGCTAGACAGACGGGGTAGAACAAGCAAAAAGTGCGAGACTTTATAATTGACATATAACTAGCCCTGAAGAGCTTGGTACGCAAGAAAGAGCCCCGTGGGTTGTTCATCAGCAGAGTCAAGTAACAACAATCGAAAGCAACGATGGACTTGACCATCTGAACGTAAAACAAATTATACTACTGGTATATTAGCTTTTGTGGTCAATGACAGCACTCGAGCATCAATTAGTACAATCGATCAATAATCCCATTATGTGCCATGCCCGTATCATACCAAGTTTCTCTCGGTCAACGAAGGCTACTCCAGGCCAAGACACCAGTTCAGGAAGAGACTCAAATGATCAACAAATAATCAGGCCGGTAGGGCAACGGTATCAGTGTCTCGGAATATTACATTGCTAGTTCTGTCTGAAATATCAGACGAGATTTCGTTAGGGTTCGCACAGCCCATAAGATCTCCTTGGCCATACCGGATGGGTTCGTGATCAGGATCCTGCTCTGACCCTACCATTTCCAAAATGACAGCTAACAGAAGTTGTGCCACATCCTCACCGAGTACCGCATTGCGCGGGCTATTCTAGCTCAAGTATGTTGCCACTATTTGAGAGTATTCTTCAATCACGGATGCAGGTTTGGAACTTCGCAGACTTCCAATCTGCATTCGAGGCAATATGTGGCACAATTGGTACGTTCCGTAGAGAATTCCTTGGAATGTTATCTAAGGTAAGGTCGTTTCTTGTCACTTGAAGGTCCGTGTGGGTCTTGTTTGGGGTGGTCCTATTGAGCTTGGTATTAGCAGAGTCAAAATTTAACTCCTGAAACTTCAAAGTCTGACGCAGCTCACTGTAGCAGGGTTCAAGACCTCCATGACCTTATCATGCTGGCATGCGGCCGAGACCGGGAAAATGCCCTGATCCCTCGAAGTACCATGGCAGATGCTTTCTATCGGACATCATTCTTGCTTCTTCTCGTGTTAGGCCGCAATACCCCATGAATTGCCGCTATTCCAGAGCCAGAGCTGCCTGCTGAAGTGGGTTGCGAGTTGGCAGTACTGAGTTCAACCTAAAGAGCAGAGATAAAGCAAGGAACAAAGCTCTTCAGGAATGTGAGGTTGAAGGAAGGGAAGATGCTCGAAGGGGGAAGCCGGGGCCTTGGGACATTTAGAGTTGCGCTTTTATGTGGACCGTGTTCCAGGCACCTCCCGCTTTTTCTTCACTTTGTTCTGTGTTGTCCTTCTCTCTGACTTCTCTGAAAAGAATCTATCCGGTCTAGGCTGCTGGCGTTGACCGGCAAATGCTTGCTCTCGAACATTTGCCGTCTTTTGGTCACCCCTCGCCTTCCTACGCTTCCCACTTACGCTTCTTAGGGCTTGGGATATCGCATCCCTCGATATGCATGTTTTCTTCAAGCTCGACATATTCGAACGGCCAAGATCACATCGAAGAGTCTAATTCACAGAATTGGACCAAAACAATGGCGTGTGCACTCGCCAGAACGCATCAAATGCCTCATGTCTACGACGCGTTGCCTCTGTCGAAAGGGGTAAACAGACATTTGCGGGAATAAAAATAATGAGAATAAAAAAAGGACACCTGAATGCGACATCGGGACTCATACAGAATGTGATTTCGTGCCCGGACTGCAACGGAGAGGATACCCGGCAATTTTGATATTCCTAGAAACACAGCGTTTGGGTTTCGGACGAACAACCCCTGAGATTCGACAGTTAAAGGCGCTCGTGACCGAAAACAAGAACTGTGTGAGGTCTCGGAAGTCAGTACATATCGTCATGGCACGCATGGTGAGATCAATCGCCAGGATAAAAATGTGAACGAATAAATCATATGTAAGTGGAAAATCCGAAACGGAACAACGCTAACGCAATGTTTATATCGAACTCGGCAATGATTGGAATGCTTCGGAGAATCCAAGTCCCACGAGCCTCAAGGACCACAAGGACCGGAGCACCGGTTCCACTTAACTGATGCACCGGACATTGCTCTGGGGCCATTAACGCCCCCCCCTTTCCTCCAACCACAGTCGACGGCTTGAAGCGACACTGACCCTTGAACCCTATAACTCCTCGACGAATCACCTTCACGTTCGTGACGGTTTCCACCCGTCTCCACCGTGTCTCATCTGGGTCCTAGACGGCTTAGTTCGATGCTAGCCGGAGCATGTCATTAAAATTGCCCGAGAAAACCGTTACGCCAAGGGAGCGCGGCGCAATCCCGAGCCCATGCAAACTACACCCTTGTGGCCTTATGGATTATGTGTCTTTCCAGGTCTCGCCAATGGCGTGTGGTCCCATTCACGTCTCTCTAGGAGAAAGGAGAACCGTTGGACTTCCCTTGGACTTATCTTCTCATCTGTGGACTCCAATTTCGGGGTAAAGTCCGATCTGTTCCTGAACCTCGTCCCACAGCCTACAGGTCAACTAATTCCATCTGCATTTACCTCGCTATCGGATGTCACACTCATGAATATAGGTTTCGGGACTACTGGCCCGGTTTTTCCCCCCTCCCCTCCCTCTCCCGTTGCTCCACACCTGTTCCCATTTAATTATTGAGAAAAAAGATTCGGATTTTCTTGTTTGGTCTTATGCACAGTCTCATCTCTTCCGCATTCTACTTGGCCTGAAACCCTTTTCGCTTGTGACGAGCCCTCGCGGCGCACATCTTCCCTTTTCTCCCAAGTTTCCCCCCCAACAAAAACATCAATCGTGAAAACCTCCCTCACCAACGACCCTCAAACACAGCACACCACCAGCTGAACACCCCCCCTCACCAACGATATGGCCAACCTTCCTCTATCACGAAACTGGCCGGAGATTCGACAGGCTCTAGAACACGCTCGCGAATGCGAAGATGGCCCCGTGAATGCCCAATCGGCCGCCGTCCTGGAGGCTGCCATTACCGAACTGTGGAATCGCATCCAAGCCCAACCAGATAGCTATGTGCTCACGCCAGACGAGTTCGCCCTCTTCAATTACTTCCTTACCACACGCTACCGTGGCTCGCCCGTCGCCCAGAGCGCCGTGGCTCGTTTCTGGAACAACTACCAAGGAAATACGAACTACGATGGCGTTGCCAACTAGCTACGCTTGAATTGCCGGTTCATCGGTACGCGATGCTAGCACTAGCCAAGAGGGTCTTCCATATCCTTCTCCGAGGTTCTGCATGATGTCTCTAGAACTTGCGCGGTACAGCGAGACGAGTGCGGGTGTAGGTTCGAAGGTGCCCAATGTCCCACATCACGAGACCCGTTACTCCCCTCCGTCGCATTCTCCTCGCATAGTACTGGTGCCCCACGGCACGTTCCAGCTTCGAGTCGACCAGAGCCTACAGCCAGAACCAGAATCAGATCCCGCCGGGATATACCGCTTCATTTCCTTCCCATGCGACATCTGCACGGAGATCAACAAGGTTGATCTACATTGCGTGCAAGACAAGAAGCGGTGGAGTTGGGATTTGCCTTGGGGAGATCATTGGATCGAATCCATGTGATTTCGATACACAGCAAATCCAGCAAATCGAAGGACCGGTTTTCCTGGTCACGCCCTTCCTTCCCCAATCCTCGGGGAAATGGTGTGATGATGGCATGCATGTATGCCTTGCCGTTGTTCTGTTTCCACTTTTCCTCTGCACCCTTCGGGGCCTTTGCTGTACAGGGAATAAGTATGGGGCCCTGATCCCTGTCTTGATTGGGACACAATACATACGTCGGGCTTCTACGCAAAAAAAAAAGAGGGGAACCCAATATATGGGAGCAGCACTTGGGCTAAAAATATAATTTAGTTAATAAGAATCATTTATCAGACGTCAGGAAGTGGATATTATTTCAGCTGTAGCTTACGGAGTACGGAGTAGCTATTGTTACTTTGGCTACGGGGTCTGCTATATATCCCCGCTTCTTTGACTTTTGATTTAAATTCTTGGTTCTGCTTTTATTTTGCGTTGGCATTATTTAATTCTCTCTATTCTTCTCGAAACACGATACTAACACTAACATAATTAACATATCAATCTAGTCCGAGATGGTGTTACATACCAACGGGTATGCGACCTCGGGACCTAACAACGGAGTACGGACGGAGTAGCTGCAGCCAATTCCCCGAGCCCACTAACTCCCAGGGGGTTACCATATGCGAGTCATTCATTAACTAACTAGCTTTTATGGGCCACGTACGGAGTACTGTTAATGTCTATTAGGTATCATTATCCACATACATACTCCGCATACTCCGTAAGATGTCTGGCAATTTCCCATTTGGGGGGGGGGGGCGGGGGGGGGGGGGGGGGGGGGGGGGTGTGGGGTGGGGGGGGGTGTGGGGGGGGGCGAGCGTCGGGCCGGGTGCGGAGGGTGAGGTGCTGTGG